AACTTTCAAAGTTCTTGAAATGTTCCGTATTGACTGACCTTCATATCTTAAAGTAATGATGGAATGTCATTTCTCTTTGCTTATTTGAGCTGTTCTTGCCATAATATGGACTTGGTCTTTTACCAAATAGGGCTATCTTCTGTATACCCCCCCTACCTTGTCACAACACAACTGATTGTCTCAAACGCATTAAGAAGGAAAGAAATTCCACAAATTAACTTTTAAGAAAGCATACCTGTTAATTGAAATGCATTCCAGGTGACTATCTCATGAAGCTGGTTGTGAAAATGCCAAGAATGTGCAAAGCTGTCATCAAGGCAATGGGTGGCTATTTGAAAAATCTCCAATATAAAATATATTTTGATTAGTTTAACACTTTTTTGGTTACTACATGATTCCATGTGTTATTTCATAGTTTTGATGTCTTCACTATTATTCAACAATGTGAAAAATAGTACAAATAAAGAAAAACCCTTGAATGAGTAGGTGTCCAAACTTTTGACTGGTAGTGTATATATAGCTAACTATTTGGGATAAAAGTGTCTGCTAAGTGACGGTGTTATGTCCCCACATCAAAATGACTGAATTTAGCCTCTGTATGGATCTGTCACCCACATACCACAGGGCACCTGCATACCTCATACATACCATCTACATACCACCTACATAACACCTACATACCGCCGGCATGACACAAGAGGACAAGTATAGACACACAAAGACAGATGGTATGTATGATAATACCAAGCCAAAATAATGTGTCAGGGCCAGGAACTCAAGTGGTCAACAGTTGCTAAACTTTTCCAAAACACAGTGAACAAATGCCCAGCAAAACAAAGCACAACAAATTATCTCTGAGGTTTGAACTGGCAGCATGAAAGTGAAAAAGCCTCAAGCAATTTCTGCATTAGTTCCACCGTTGCTTCTCCAGACAAAAAAACAAGACTTTCAATATCCTTCTATCAATGGGGAAGCACAAGATATTTTTGCAGTCAACATTTTATAAGAGATGTCGTTTTAAACTAAACTAGATACAGTATAATATAGTATGTGTGAAATGGCCTCTGTGTATAGCAGTTGGATTGCAGCAGTGCTTTTCACAGTGAAGTGTGGATCTGAGATAGGCTGCATCTCGTCTCTCTGCTACCTCTATTCTAGCCTGCCATACAAACACTAGCTTTCTCTCTCTCCAAGAAAAATGAGACATTGGGTTCAAAACTAGACTAAAAACACACTGAGACACCTAGACTTGTGTGAGGTACTGACACAATTCTACAGAAAGCAAAAGCATCTCTATAGCTTCTAGTGGAACCCAAACCCTTTACCCTTGAAACACATTAAGAAAAAAGTAAAATAGAAAAGTTATTTTGCAGAAAAAGGAGAATTGAAACGTACTTTTAAAGAGTTTTGTCCTTTCAAACCATTTGCTCAGAGGAAGCGGTGGAGTATTCCAGCGAATGTCCGTGTCCCCAGTTCTGTCTGTTAGAATCCAAGCCTTTTCTCTCTGTTCTTGCTCGCTCCGCTCAGGTCCCTCTCCTACTCACTTGACTGATGCAACACACCCCTGCAAAAAAGGAAGAAAAAAAACGGAGCTTGGAGCGGAGGCAGAGAAAGAGAAAAAATACCCCATCACATTCTGAGGATTGTTGGGGGCATGCCAACAATCCCAGAATTCCTCATGCTACAAATAAGGTTGCACTTAAGTCAGAACCCAGTACCCAATCAAAATGCTTTTTTCTCCTTGAGGAGAACGTTTTCATTCGACAGCCTGAGTGAGCGATGAAACCACTATAATTCACGGCAGCAATAATTCAGAAAGCACAAAAATGTAAATTCAACGTTGCATATTCTTGTTGTGTGGAAGAAATTACATTTGATTCTGTTGACAAATAAAGTGCCTTCAGAAAGTGTTCATACCCCTTGACTTATTCCACATTTTGTTGTTACAGGCAGAATTCAAAATGAATTAAATATTTTTTTCTCTCACACATCTACACACAATACCTCCTAATGACAAAGTGAAAACATGTTTTTTGAAATCTTTGCTAATTTATTGAAAATGAAATACAGAAATATCTCATATACATAAGTATTCACACCCCTGAGTCATTACTTTGTCGAAGCACCTTTGGCAGCAATTAGAGCTGTGAGTCTTTCTGGGTAAATCTCTAAGAGCTTTTCAACCCTGGATTGTGCAACATTTGCCCATTATTATTTTCAAAATCCTTCAAGCTCAGTCAAATTGGTTGTTGATTATTGCTAGACAACCATTTTCAGGTCTTGCCATAAATTTTCAGTCAAAACTGTAACTCGGCCACTCAGTAACATTCACTGTCTTCTTGGTAAGCAACTCCAGTGTAGATTTGGCCTTGTGTTTTAGGTTATTGTCCTGCTGAAAGGTGAATTCATCTCCCAGTGTCTGGTGGAAATCTTACTGAACCTGGTTTTCTAGGATTTTGCCTATGCTTAGCTACATTCTGTTTCTTTTTTTTATCCTGAAAAACGTTCTAGTGCTGAATGATTACAAGCATACCGATAACACGATGCAGCCACCACTATGCTTGAAAATATGGAGAGTGGTACTTAGTAATGTGTTTTATTGGATTTGTCCCAAACATAACACTTTGTATTCAGGACAAAAAGTGAATTGCTTTGCCAATTGTTTTGCAGTATTACTTTAGTGCCTTGTTGCAAACAGGATGCATGTTTTGGAATATTTATATTCTGTACAGGCTTCCTTCTTTTCACTCTGTCAACTAGATTAGTATTGTGGAGTAACTACAATGTTGTTGATCCATCCTCAGTCTTCTCTTATCACAGCCATTAAACTCTGTATCTGTTTTAAAGTCACCATTGGCCTCATTGTGAAATCCCTGAGTGGTTTCCTTCCTCTCCTGCAACTGAGTTAGGAAGGACGCCTGCATCTTTGTAGTGACTGAGTGTATTGATACACCACCCAAAGTGTAATTAATAACTTCACCATAATCAAAGGGATATTTAATGCCTGCTTTTTTTTATATACCAATCTACCAATAGGTGCCCTTCATTGCGAGGCATTGGAAAACCTCCCTGGTCTTTGTGGTTGAATCTGTGTTTGAAATTCACTGCTCGACTGAGAGACCTTACAGATAATTGTATGTGTGGGGTACATAGTGGCTTGTGAAAGTATTCACCCCCCTTAGCATTTTTCCTATTTTGTTGCCTTACAACCTGGAATTTTTTTGGGGGGGTTGTATCATTTACACAACACTTTGAAGATGCAAAATATTTTTTGGGGTGTAACAAACAAGAAATAAGACAAAAAAACAGAAGACCTGAGCGTGCATAACTATTCACCCCCCCAAAGTCAATACTTTGTAGAGCCACCTTTTGCAGCAATTACAGCTGCAAGTCTCTTGGGGTATGTCTCTATAAGCTTGGCACATCTAGCCACTGGGATTTTTGCCCATTCTTCAAGGCAAAACTGCTCCAGCTCCTTCAAGTTAGATGGGTTCCGCTGGTGTACAGCAATCTTTAAGTCATACCACATATTCTCAATTGGATTGAGGTCTGGGCTTTGACTAGGCCATTCCAAGACATTTAAATGTTTCCCCTTAAACCACTTGAGTGTTGCTTTAGCAGTATGCTTAGGGTCATTGTCCTGCTGGAAGGTGAACCTCCGTCCCAGTCTCAAATCTCTGGAAGACTGAAACAGGTTTCCCTCAAGTTTCCCATCCATCATTCCTTCAATTCTGATCAGTTTCCCAGTCCCTGCCGATGAAAAACATCCCCACAGCATGATGGTGCCACCACCATGCGTCACTGTGGGGATGGTGTTCTCGGGGTGATGAGAGGTGTTGGGTTTGCGCCAGACATAGCGTTTTCCTTGAGTACCTGCTTCCATATGTTTGGAGAGTCTCCCACATGCCTTTTGGCGAACACCAAACGTGTTTGCTTATTTTTTTTCTTTAAGCAATGGCTTTTTTCTGGCCACTCTTCCGTAAAGCCCAGCTCTGTGGAGTGTACGGCTTAAAGTGGTCCAATGGACAGATACTCCAATCTCCGCTGTGAAGCTTTGCATCTCCTTCAAGGTTATCTTTGGTCTCTTTGTTGCTTCTCTGATTAATGCCCTCCTTGCCTGGTCTGTGAGTTTTGGTGGGCGGCCCTCTCTTGGCAGGTTTGTTGTGGTGCCATATTCTTTCCATTTTTAAATAATGGATTTAATGGTGCTCCGTGGGATGTTCAAAGTTTCTGATATTTTTTTATAACCCAACCCTGATCCGTACTTCTCCACAACTTTGTCCCTGACCTGTTTGGAGAGCTCTTTGGTCTTCATGGTGCCGCTTGCTTGGTGGTGCCGCTTGCTTGGTGGTGCCCCTTACTTAGTGGTGTTGCAGACTCTGGGGCCTTTCATAACAGGTGTATATATACTAAGATCATGTGACAGATCATGTGACACTTAGATTGCACACAGGTGGACTTTATTTAACTAATTATGTGACTTCTGAAGGTAATTGGTTGCACCAGATCTTATTTAGGTGCTTCATAGCAAAGGGGGTGAATACATATGCACGCACCACTTTTTCCGTTGTTTATTTTCTATAATTTTTTGAAACAAGTAATTTTTTTCATTTCACTTCACCAATTTGGACTATTTTGTGTATGCCCATTACATGAAATCCAAATAAAAATCAATTTAAATTACAGGTTGTAATGCAACAAAATAGGAAAAACGCCAAGGGGGATGAATACTTTTGCAAGGCACTGTAGATGAGGTAGTCATAAAAAAAATTATGTTAAACACTTGTTGCACACAGAGTGAGTCAATGCAACTTATTATGAGACCTGTTAAGCAAACCTTTACTCATGAATGTATTTAGGCTTGCAATAACAAAGAGGTTGAATACTTATTGACTCAAGACATTTCAGCATTTCATTTTTAATTAATTTGTAAACATTCCACTTTGACATTGTGGGGTACTGCGTGTAGGCCAGTGACAAAAAAATCTCAATTTAATCAATTTTAAATTCAGGCTGTAACACAAGACAATGTGGAAAAAGTCAAGTGGTATGAATACTTTTTGAAGGCACTGTCACGTCAACAAAATTAAACAAATAACTTTAATTCAACACATTTCTGTTGACAAATTTGATCGGGTTCCATTTTACCTACAAAAATGTTTTATATTTGCCATAGTAATGCCAATGGCAATAGACTTAAGTAGTGTTTTTACACTGTAAGTACACACAGATACTTACAATTGTTATACAATTCATGAAGCACTTTTATACATTGATAACACTCGGACCACAGAATGAGCTCACCTTAGTGACAAGTAAGGACAGTCACCACCTGATGACATCATCACCGCCAGTGTTTCGTAGCTGATGTGGACTAAAATGCCAGACTCGGGAAATAAAAGGGATACAGAGGAGCAACGCATCAAATAATGGTAAGTGGGTGGAATTCCCCTTTAAATGTACCCCTTCCTTCATGGTGGAAAAGCATGGTGTGGCTTAGTGAGGAAAGCACACTCTACAGTAGTCCAGTTAAGGACAGTCCAGTGTGCTAAAACTATCGATGCACATGGTCATGTTTCATATCTGCCTGAAGGAATATAACATTCTATAATAGACATCAAGGTTATTTATCTAAGTCAATTCAACATTTACACTTTACATTGAGGTATCCTTTATAAGTGTTACCTAAGCATAGCCCTATGTCAATACAATACCTTCTGTCAGAGATACTGTAGTGGGAGTGAGAGCAAGTGAAAGAAAGGGAAAAGAGGAGATGAGAGAGAGGAAGAAAAAAGGAGAAAGGGAGAGATATAGAAAGTAAGAGGAATTGTGTGTGTGTGAGAGACAGACAGGTAGAGAGACTGTTAGCAGCCACAGAGTAGATTTTCTGAGTGGCTGCAGCAGTAAATGTAGCATGCTCTCTCTGGCCCATCTTAAACACAAACCATGTGCTGCTGCTGGAAACTCTGATTTAACACACCAGGACTTCTAATGCAATAAACACACCCATCACACACACAGCCACGCACACAGAGACCGACAAATCCACACACACACACACATGCAGACAACTCTACGCACACACACAGGCACACCACGCTAAGCTTAGGTTTAATCAAAGACTCATACCTCTTCCAAATGTGATATTTCTATAATAAAGAAAATGTAAAACAATTCCTATGTCAACAGCGTCATTTGGAAGCCAATCAGGCAGAAGACTAGCAGTAGTGTGCTATGAAACCCAGTTATCATAAAAAAAGTATTTCCGTGTACCAACATTACATGTTAATAATAATCAATCATATTAGGATCATCTGACTACAATTGTTGTACCTATCTCTACTTGTATCTGTACGTACAAATCACTTGGTAAAATGCATAGGTGGTAATTTCCATCTACAAGACAGATAAAAAATTGGCTTAAGCAAAATAAATAGCTTGATCTTCAGACTGCTTCATCCAGTCATGCAGCCCCTCAAGGCTTCTGTCCTTCATCTTATGCTGCGGCCATGTGCTCCTCAGAAAAATCAGACATTTGGAAAACATTCCAACTGGGGGTTGGATCTCATTGTATTGAGTTATAGCACGGATTTCCCCACTTATAATTCCAACTCAGAAGCTCGTTTTTGGATGTCGGAAATGCATTGTGTTTCAATTATTTAGAAAAGCACATGAACGCAGCATTATTGCACGGAAACAAACGACATCACAGTTTCTCCCAGTTGTAGGGAGGAGGAGAGGGAGAAGAAGTGGAATAGGTCTTTGGCACGTCGCTCTTCTTTTGCTCACTCGCTCTCTTTCATTCTCCCTCTCCCTCCCTCCATTCTTCCGTCCCTCAAACGCCATTCTTCACCAGTTCGTGGGCTCCACTCTCGTCGATGACCAGGGTGGGGCGGAACTCTCGCCCACTCACCAGCTCCTCCAAACCCTGCAACACAACAGGAAGTGACATCATCAGGCTATTATATCATCAATGCTCGTAAAACTGAATGTAATAACTATAACGGGAATCACTTTTTAATATTTATTTATATTTCAACAGGTCCCTACTGTTAAGTCCCTCCCCCTTACCTCTCCGCCATAGGACACCAGTGGGGAGATCTCACATTTAATTGGCAGGTCTGTTCCATCCTTCAGACTGTGGGGAAAAGAGGAGGAAGGAAGGAGAGGAGGAAAGGTTGAGTGCTTTTCTCTTGTGTATGAAGAAAAGAGAAGAAGCAGCTGGATGTGTGATTCTCTGCTCCAGCTGTTCTTAGATTATTAGATGTTTGGAGCAAAGCATTAAAGCGTTAACGTCAGAGAGACTCCTATACCTTTTTCCTGGACCCAGATTAAGCCTATTCCTGGACTAAAAAGCACTTTCAGAGATTCCATTTAGTCTAGGAGTATGCTTTATCTAGGTCCAGGAAGACTAAGTAGGCACAAGTTTGAAGTGGAAGTGAATGAAGTCTATATTGATTGGGAGAGAGCATACATCACACAGAAAGCGCCATTAGACCTTATTACAATTTAAATGACACCACTAAGTAGCATTTATGAATGTAATAAATATTTTAAATGCTGTTGAATACACTACTTTCATTTAAATCATCATCTTTGAACAATCAGGAGGATTTAAATGTATTTGGTGTTGCCGTCACAATCACAGATAACTGGCCAACATCAGATCTGAAATGGCCACTCATCGTCTCCCCATCATCATCAGATAGACAGTGACATCAGAGACGTCATCAATTGCAAAGCATGCCCAGTGCCCATTACCCAGCATGCTCCACATTCCGTGGGTTAGTAGCTACTGTCCCAGTTAGCACTAGGCCCTGCACCAATAGCTTATGCATCCTTCTTTCCTTCCCTCCCTCCTTGAGATAATCACTGCTCTAGTATAGTTTGATTGGTGAAAGCAACAGGATGGTAAACTGGCCTACACTTACCTAAGCACGTGCAGACCAGTGATTGGCTAAAGAAAGAGAGGAAGGAAGGAAGGATGCATATGAAGACTATTGGAACAGGGACCAAGTCAGCAGGCAGGTCAGGTAACTCCGTCCCCACCTGCACAGGACAGGTGACCCTGTGACCTCGGCCCTAGCACAGCTAAACCACAGGCTGCATCTCAACACTCTAGTCCTTTCCTCTCCTTCCCTTCACCCACACTGATAGGAATAAACTGACCAGGTGAAAGTAGGACAAAAGACAAGGAGACTAAGAGAGGAAGCCACTACATAGAATTGAGACACAGCCCAGATGTTTGTGTGACAGTGGGTTACAGTGAGCGACTGAGTGTGTGTGTGAAAGCAAAAGCCCCGTCACCATGCAGTAACTCAGTCAGTAGCACAGAGAATAGTTACTTCTGGTTGACATCAGCTGTGCCACTTCCTGCAGGTCCATCTCTGGAAACATTAAAACATTACACATGACACACAGGGTTAAGGGGAACCGTGAGGGATGCTGTGAGAAAAAGTGGGATTGTGAAAAAGCTGTGACAGAGAGACTATATGGTGATGAACGTGACAACAGGTGGAGAGATAAATAGAATGTATACTCACTGTGAGTGTGTTTAGTGTGTGTGTGTCTCACCTGGGTATAGCAGGCACACGCGTCCCGTTTTCGTCTATGAAGTGTCCTCCAGCATTGAGGACCCAGCGGTGATGCAGGGACATGAGGGCGTGTTTCACCGTGGTGGGCGTGTCTTTACCGTCCTGGCTGTCTGCGTTCTTCAGGGCAGAGAACTCGTCTTCACGAAGAACCTCGTACACCACAAAGGTCCTGAGACACACACACACAGTGTGAAAATGCATCTTTAGTGCTACTGTTTCCAAGGTAACCCACCCCCAGAACAACAACACATATTAATCATCGTCCCATTCCAGTTTAAAACAATCTGAGAATGGTAATGACGAGTTCTAGAATAGAGCCACATAGAATTGCATCCTCATTGCAATGAGAGGAATCCATTGACTCCATGTAAAGTTCTAAAAGCAGCAACATGACTCAGAGGTGATGTCATGATTCAACTGGAGAGAGAGACACACACACACAGAGACACAGAGAGAGACACAGAGAGAGAGAGAGAGAGAGAGAGAGAGAGAGAGAGAGAGAGAGAGAGAGAGAGAGAGAGAGACACAGAGAGAGAGAGAGAGAGAGAGAGAGACAGAGAGAGAGACAGAGAGAGAGACAGAGAGAGAGACAGAGAGAGAGACAGAGAGAGAGAGAGAGAGAGAGAGATAGAGAGACTGGAGCAGCTCGTAAAACTTCAATTTTACAGGCCCCAGCAGCAGGGCTGGGCCGGCTCTGGGACAGTGGCTATGGAGCTGGGGTTTGGGCTAGGGGTCTGAGGTCCTGGAACCTGTCAAGGAGCTGGGGAATGGAAGCTGGGGCTCCAGAGATCTGGGTGTCAGGACCTGGATCTTACTAACGGATGCTGGCTGTGTGCCTCCCTTTCCTCTCCTCTTCTCTCCGCAGGTTTTAAGGGAAAATGCAGCCAGCTCCACACATGCTAAAGCCAGCTGGAAAAGCACTGCACTTACTTGGCAAACTGGAAGATGTCAAAGACAAATTTTTCCATTTTAATCCCGTTGGGTTTGTCGGGTTTGATTAGCCGTCCCTGCGTGTCCACGTACGGGATTTTCTTCTGGGCCACGTGATGCTGCAGCTGAGGCTCGAACGTCCTGACAGAGAGTTTCAAGTTTCAATGTCACATGCACAAGTACAGTGTAATGGCTTTTTTGCAAGCTCTAACCCCAACAATGCAGTAATCAATAACAATGTAATACTAAAAATAACAACGTAGAACAAAAACACACGAGATATAAAAATAAGAAGAACGTGATAAAGTAAGCATACTAAATTATATATTAGGGTCAGTTCCAGTACCATATTTACAATGTGCAGGGATACTGGATTGATAGAGGTAGATATAGTGCCTTCAGAAAGTATTCATACCCCTTGACTTATTCTACATTTTATTGTGTTAAAGCATGAATTCAAAATGGATTACATTTTTATCCATCTACACACAATACCCCATAATGACAAAGTGAAAACAGGTTTTTAGAAATGTTTGCACATTTATTGAGAATGAAATACAGAAATGTCAAATTTACATAAGTATTCACACCCCTGAGTAAATATGTTAGAATCACCTTTGGCAGCGATTACAGCTGTGAGTCTTTCTGGGTAAGTCTTTAAGAGCTTTGCACACCTGGATTGTACAATATATTTGCTCATTATTCTTTTCAAAATTCTTCAAGCTCTGTCAAATTGGTTGTTGATCATTGCTAGACAACCATTTTCAAGTCTTGCCATAGACTTTCAAGCACATTTAAGTTAGAACTGTAGCTTGGCCACTCAGGAACATTCACTGTCTTCTTAGTAAGCAACTCCATCGTAGATTTGGCCTTGTGTTTTAGGTTATTGTCCTGTTGAAAAGGTGACTTTGTCTCCCAGTGGCTGGAGGAAAGTAGAACGAACCAGGTTTTCCTCTAGGATTTTGTCTGTGCTTAGCTCCATTCCATTTATTTTTAATCCTGAAAAACTCCCCAGTCCATAACGATTACAAGCATACCTATAACATGATGCAGCCACCACTATGCTTGAAAATATGGAGAGTGGTACTATGTTGTATTGGATTTGCCCCAAACATATCACTTTGTATTCAGGATAAAAATGTAATTGCTTTGCCACAATGTTTTGCAGTATTACTTTAGTGCCTTGACGCAAACAGGATGCATGTTTTGGAATATTTGTATTCTGTACAGGCTTACTTATTTTCACTCTGTCAATTAGGCTAGTATTGTGGAGTAACTACAATGTTGTTGATCCATTCTCAGTTTTCTCCTATTCCAGCCATTAAACTCTGTAACTGTTTTAAAGTCACCATTCGCCTCATGGTGAAATCCCTGAGCAGTTTCCTTCCTCTCCTGCAACTGAGTTAGGAAGGACGCCTGTATCTTTGTAGTGACTGGGTGTATTGATACACCATCCAAAGTGTAATTAATAACTTCACCATAATCAAAGGGATATTTAATGATAATGCTCCGTGGGATGTTCAAAGTTTCTGATATTTTTTTATAACCCAACCCTGATCTGTACTTCTCCACAACTTTGTCCTTGACCTGTTTAGAGAGCTCCTTGGTCTTCATGGTACCGCTTGCTTGGTGGTGCCCCTTGCTTAGTGGTGTTGCAGACTCTGGGGCATTTCAGAACAGGTGTATATACACTACCGTTCAAACGTTTGGGGTCACTTAGAAATGTCCTTGTTTTCGAAAGAAAAGCATTTTTTTTGTCCATTAAAATAACATCAAATTGATCAGAAATACAGTGTAGACATTGTTAATGTTGAAAGTGGCTATTGTAGCTGGAAATGGCTGATTTTAATGGAATATCTTCATAGGCGTACAGAGGCCCATTATCAGCAACCATCAGTCCTGTGTTCCAATAGCACGTTGTGTTTGCTAATCCAAGTTTATCATTTTAAAAAGGCTAACTGATCATTAGAAAACCCTTTTGCAATTATGTTAGCAGAGCTGAAAACTGTTGTGCTGATTAAAGAAGCAATAAAACTGGCCTTCTTGAGACTAGTTGAGTATCTGGAGCATCAGCAATTGTGGGTTCGATTACAGGATCAAAATGGCCTGAAACAAATAACTTTATTCTGAAACTCGTCAGTCTATTCTTGTTCGGAGAAATGAAGGCTATTCCATACGAGAAATTGCCAAGAAACTGAAGATCTCGTACAACGCTGTGTACTACTCCCTTCACAGAACAGCACAAACTGTCTCTAACCAGAATAGAAAGAGGAGTGGGAGGCCCTGGTGCACAACTGAGCAAGGAGGACAAATACATTAGTGTCTCTAGTTTGAGAAACAGGCGCCTCACAGGTCCTCAACTGGCAGCTTCATTAAATAGTACCCGCAAAACACCAGTCTCAACGTCAACAGTGAAAAGGTGACTCCGGAATGCTGACCTTCTAGGCAGAGTTGCAAAGAAAAAGCCATATCTCAGACTGGCCAATAAAAATAAAATATTAAGATGGGCAAAAGAACATTGGACCTTTTCTTTGCAACTGTGCCTAGAAGGTCAGCATCCCGGAGTCGCCTCTTCACTCTTCATACATATGCACGTACCACTTTTCCATTATTTATTTTGTAGAATTTTTTGAAACAAGTTATTTTTTTCATTTCACTTCACCAATTTTGACTATTTTGTGTATGTAAATTACATGAAATCCAAATAAAAATCAATTTAAATTACAGGTTGTAATGCAACAAAATAGGAAAAATGCCAAGCGGGATGAATACGTTTGCAAGGCGCTGTATAATCAATAGCCTAACTTAAAAGTGCCTGTCTTTTTATAAATCATCAATATATCTACAGAAATAAAACAGATTCTGTTGCCTGTTTGAGTGTTTGTTTAATAGCCTACTGATTCCGTGAGCACCGAGCCTCACGCAACGACATGTCAAGTAAACAATTTCACAAATCTGGCAGTTTTTAATCTTTGCTTTGCTGTAATAAAGGCTTTATATGTTTTTTTTCGTTAGAACAGCCTCTCTGGTATTATTTATTTAGTGTTGTTTACACTGTTACACATTGTCCGAAAAATTATATTATTAATAATAATAATAATAATAATAACTTTTTCTTGATCTCCTTGTTATTACTATTATTATGGCACAATCAAATCAATTGCTGTCGGACTCCGTCTAATCATTTGTGTGTCTTAATTATTTAATCAAACAGTGTGCTTAAAGCATCAGACACGTTCAGTGAACATGGTTGATTTGATTAAAACACATAGGATGTGTCAATATATGGAAAAGTACACGTTTTAAAATTTAGACCAATCGATTGGTCAAAAGAACAGACGACTCTTGGTCGACCAATATATTTTTTTAGTCGAGGACAGCCCTACTTTTGTTTATTGATTATCTTTCCCATGCCAATCAAGCCCATTTGAATTTAACTGAAAGGGGGGGAATGCAGAGAGAGAGAGGTGGATGCAGTGACCGAGAGAGAGAGAGATCAGGAAATTTGAAACATGCACTTGGTTTTAACTGTTAAAAGTGAAGAGAGAAAAACTGCAGCTTTTTCTCCTTTAATTTCCTTCACCTTAGATTCTGGGTATTCATTAAAGTCACTGCGATGTTTCCAGGCATTTATCAGCTGACAGACACTGCTCATTAGAAACCAGCTAGGTCCAAGGCAACTACTTCGCTCTCAGGTTATGAGGCTCCCACTAGGCAGGTAATGACCTCAAATACCTGCTTAATGGGGGTTACACATTCACCATGTAATTACTCACTTACTGTATGGAGGTGTGTGTGGCTGTGTGTGTTTGCATACATGTTTGTGTGTGTGAGACTCACTGGACGACGTCCCTGAGGAAGGCTAGGGTGAAGAAGTGATTGGCCACGTTTCCTGCATTGAACATCAGCCGTCCGTCCGCGCTGCGCTTCTCAGCTGTAGCCAAGGTGATCTCGCTGTATTCTACCACCTGGTAACGGCCGTCGACCTTACAGACCACGCCCACCGCCTCCGTTGGATTGGTCTTCTCCACCACCTGGAAGTGATGTCACAGGAAGAGATTTTACCTGTGTCAAAATGTTTCAGATAGAAATGTAGATATGGATGGGACTCTTAAAAATAGTATTGGACTCTACATTTTAGTGACTGGAGTATGGTCTGAATCAGAAATCCAGCCCTCAGCCCATCTGGTTGGTAGTCCAAATGACAGAGATGGGCTTGATGAGGGGGTTAGTGGTGGGGTGAGGAGGGGGAGACTCAGTAGGCTGATGAGGGGTTTAGTTCGGTAGCAAGAAGCCACATCAACTGCAGTATTTGTGAGTTAACGACAGGAGGGTGGGTCCCTGCATTCTTCTGATCCTAGCAGAGCCTCACACCACAGCTCTTAAACTGACACACAACAGGAATGGCTTTACTACAGCTCTCAACTCTGAGTTAAACACACTATATATACAAAAGTATGGTGGACACCAATGTTCCCTCTAAACTGTGCGCGTGTGCGGGCCGAGACCGCCGTGCAGAAGAAATACAGTATCAGCCCACGGAGAAGCACGAGATTGAACTTCACTCAACTTTCTAGAGTTTTCCCTGTTAGTTAACACTATCAACGTTTCCCTTTACTGTGGCAATTGTGATCGAATCACTGCAATATTAGCCACTTTCAAAGCAACATACCGGAAAAAAAACGAACTATGCAAGACTTAGTATGCAAAACGAACACATCAGAGTAAGATTCTATTGCTTTGACACGCACACCTCAGCCCGTACTCTAAACAGAATGGTGCGGCATAACCAATCAGAGCTGCAGTAGGTTTATATGCAAATAGACCATTGCCATATATGGATCTGCGCCATTTACTTTGAACATGACTGTTTATAGCATGAGCGTTCTTGAGTAGATGCGCCTGTTTTGAGATCAAAGCGAGAGCTGCATGTAGCTACCACGTGTGCACATTTTGTTAATATCCTTTGCTAGTTAGTGAGTTATTAGCCCAGTTATAGATCATTTGTAGTCAGCAATAGGGGAGTGATTGCTTCCTACAAGAGCACAAAATGTGTACATTTCTAGAAATCTTTGAAAAGCAAGTCAGGTAAAGAGCTTTTTTTTGTCTTAAAGGGGCAGTGTTGTATTTTGAGACAGGCTTGAATAAGCTAAGTAGCCAATAGGCAGTGCATAGCATAATTTGTCTGATTCTCTGTAATAATGGTATGGGAATAATAATGCATTTTATTTTATAAAGTGGTTTCTTGCATCAAACACCAACATTTTCAGTCACCTCCTTGACTGAAGGACAAGTGGATAAACAGGTTAATGTTAAGCCCTGCATGTCTTTATTCCCAAAAGTCTCATGGAATGTAGGCCTACACTACTGGTCAAAAGTTTTATAACACCTACTCATTCAAGGGTTTTTCTTTATTTTGACTATTTTCTACATTGTACAATAATAGTGAAGACATCAAAACTATGAAATAACACATATGGAAAATTGTTAAACAAATCAAAATATATTTTATATTTGAGATTCTTCAATGACAGCTTTGTACACTATTGGCATTCTCTCAACCAGCTTCATTAGGTAGTCACCTGGAATGCATTTCAATGAACAGGTGTGCCTTCTTAAAAGTTAATTTGTGCAATTTCTTTCTTACTTAATGAGTTTGAGCCAATCAGTTGTGTTGTGACAAGGGGGGGGGGGGGGGGGGGGGGGGTAGCCCTATTTGGTAAAAGACCAAGTCCATATTATGGCAAGAACAGCTCAAATAAGCAAAGAGAAACAACAGTCCATCTTTACTTTAAGACATGAAGGTCAGTCAATACAGAACATTTCAAGAACCTTGAGTTTTTTCAAGTGCAGTCACAAAAACCATCAAGCACTATGATGTAACTGGCTCTCATGAGGACCGCCACAGGAATGGAAGACTCAGAGTTACCTCTGCTGCAGAGGATAAGTTCATTAGTTACCAGCCTCAGAAATTGCAGCCCAAATAAATGCTTCACAGAGTTTAAGTAACAGACACATCTCAACATCAACTGTTCAGAGGAGACTGTGTGAATCAGGCCTTCATGGTCGAATTGCTGCAAAGAAACCACTACTAAAAGGACACCAATAAGAAGAAGAGACTTGCTTTGGCCAAGAAACCCGACCAATGGACATTAGACCGGTGGAAATGTGTCCTTTGGTTTGGAGTCCAAATTTGAGATTTTTGGCTCCAACCACCGTGTCTTTGTGAGACAGATGGTGAACGGATGATCTCCGTATGTGTATTTCCCACCGTAAAGCATGGAGGAGGTGTTATGGTGCTTTGCTGGTGACACTGTCTGTAATTATTTAGAATTCAAGGCACACTTAACCAGCATGGCTACCACAGCATTCTGCAGCGATACGCCATTGCATCTGGTTTGGGCTTTGTGGGCATATCATTTGTTTTTCAACAGGACAATGACCCAACACACCTCCAGGCTGTGTAAGGGTTATTTGACCAAGGAGCAGAGTGATGGAGTGCTGCATCAGATGACCTGGCCTCCACAATCCAAATTGAGATGGTTTGGGATGAGTCAGACGGCAGAGTGAAGGAAAAGCAGCCAACAAGTGCTCAGCATATGTGGGAACTCCTTCAAGACTGTTGGAAAAGCATTCCAGGTGAAGCTGGTTGAGAAAATGCCAAGAGTGTGCAAAGCTGTCATCAAGGCAAAGGGTGGCTATTTGAAGAATCTCAAATATAAAATATATTTTGATTTGATTAACGCTTTTTTGGTTACTACATGATTCCATGTGTTATTTCATAGTTTTGATGTCTTCACTATTATTCTACAATGTAGAAAATAGTCAAAATAAAGAAAAACCCTTGAATGAGTAGGTGTTCTAAAACTTTTGACCAGTAGTGTACATTGAACACCACACATTGGCTGCTACTGTAGGCTGAATGATAGAACAGCTACAGTGGTGTGACGTGTTTGCCCCCTTCCTGATTTGTTATTTGTTTGCATGTTTGTCACACTTAAATGTTTCAGATCAAACAAATTTAAATCTAGGTCAAAGATAACACAAGTAAACACAAAATGCAGTTTTGAAATGAAGGTTGTTATTATTAAGGGAAAACAAAATCCAAACATACATGTCCCTGTGTGAAAAAGTGTTTGCCAGAAAACATCTTGAGGATCCCCAAGACCTTAGGGAAAATACTCTGTGGACTGACAAGACAAAGTTGAACTTTATGGAAGGTGTGTGTCCCATTACATCTGGCGTAAAAGTAACACCGCATTTCAGAAGAAGAACATCATACCAACAGTAAAATATGGTGGTGGTAGTGTGATGGTCTGGGCCTGCTTTGCTGCTTCAGGACCTGGAAGACTTGCTGTGATAAATGGAACCATGAATTCTGCTGTCTACCAAAAAATCCTGAAGGAGAATGTCCGGCCATCGGTTCGTGACCTCAAGCTGAAGCGAACTTGGGTTCTGCAGCAGGACAATGATCCAAAACACACCAGCAAGTCCACCTCTGAATGGCTGAAGAAAAACAAAATGAAGACTTTGGAGTGGCCTAGTCAAAGTCCTGACCTGAATCCTATTGAGATGCTGTGGCATGACCTTAAAAGGGCAGTTCATGCTCGAAAACCCTCCAAAGTGGCTGAATTGCAACAATTCTGCAAAGATGAGTGGGCCAAAATTCCTCCACAGCGCTGTAAAAGACTCATTGCAAGTTATCGCCTAAACGCTTGATTGCAGTTGTTGCTGCTAAGGGTGGCCCAACCAGTTATTAGGTTGTAGGGGGCAATCACTTTTTCACACAGGGCCATGTGGGTTTGGATTTTGTTTTCCCTTAATAATAACAACCTTCATTTCAAAACTGCATTTTGTGTTTACTTGTGTTATCTTTGACTAATATTTAAATTTGTTTGATGATCTGAAACATTTAAGTGTGACAAACATGCAAACAAATAAGAAATCAGGAAGGGGGCAAACACTTTTTAACACCACCGTATTTCCATGTTAAAATGTTATGGGATGCATTATTTTTGATGGTAGGCCACTCTGGTAGGCCTACATTTAGATCAAATAGCCACAGTAGCCTACTTGGCCACTGTTAAAACTAACTTAAAGCGGCCTCACTGTTCACAGTAAACGCGCGCTGGAAGATGCACTGAAGTTTGCGCTCAGTGAACTTGAAATTTGCTCAGTGTCCCCAAATATTAGAGGGGACATTGGTGGACACCCCTTCAAATTTGTGGATTCGGCAATTTCAGCCACACCCGTTGCTGACCGGTGTATAAAATCGAGCACACAGCCATGCAATCTCCATAGACAAACACTGGCAGTAGAATGGCCTTACTGAAGAGCTCAGTGTCTTTCAAAGATGGCACCGTCATAGAATGCCACATTTCCAACAAGTCAGTTCATCAAATTTCTGCCCTGCTAGACCTGCCCCGGTCAACTGTAAGTGCTGTTATTGTGAAGTGGACCACACAAGCACACAGAATGGGACCGCAGAGTGCTGAAGCATGTAGCGTGTAAAAATCGTCTGTCCTCGGTTGCAACACTCACTAACGAGTTCCAAACTGCCTCTGGAAGCAACGTCAGCACAATAACTGTTCGTCGGGAGCTTCATGAAATGGGTTTCCATGGCCGAGGAGCCGCACACAAGCCTAAGATCATCATGCGCAATGCCAAGCGTCGGCTGGAGTGGTGTAAAGCTCGCCGCCATTGGACTCTGGAGCAGTGGAAACGCGTTCTCTGGAGTGATATATCACACGTCACCATCTGGTAGTCCGACGGACAAATCTGGGTTTGGCGGATGCCAGGAGAACGCTACCTGCCCCAATGCATAGTGCCAACTGTAAAGTTTTTTTGGGAGGAGGAATAATGGTCTGGGGCTGTTTATCATGGTTCTTAGCTCCAGTGAAGGGAAATCTTAACACTACAGCATACAATGACATTGTAGATGATTCTGTGCTTCCAACTTTGTGGCAACAGTTTGGGGAAGGTCCTTTCCTGTTTCAGTATGACAATACCCCCGTGCACAAAGCAAGGTCCATACAGAAATGGTTTGTCGACATCGGTGTGGAAGAACTGGACTGCACGGAGCACTGACCTCAACCCCATTGAACACCTTTGGGATTAATTGGAACGCCGACTCCGAGCCAGGCCTAATCGCCCAACATCAGTACCTGACTTCACTAATGCTCGTGGCTGAATGGAAGCAAGTCCCCGCAGCAATGTTCCAACATCTAGTGGAGAGCATTCCCAGAAGAGTGGAGGCTGTTATAGCAGCAAAGGGGGGGACCAAATCCATATGAATGCCCATGATTTTGGAGTGAGCTGTTTGACAAGCAGGTGTCCATATACTTTTGGCCATGTAGTGCGTTTCATTTAATTTTAGGGACAATCTCATGGTCTGTCAAGTGACTGAGAAGAACCCAAGCCAATAATGCAGAACTAAACCCTAAAATGTCAACTGAACAACCTGATGAAGGTCTTGCAGCGCATTGGTGTGTGTGTTAACTGCCAACTGTGTGTTCCAACAGGAGCAGGCCTGTCAGTAATAACTAACTAAAGGAGATAGGGAGGAGGTGAGGGGGAATACAGAGGGTGAGGGAGGAGTGTCCATTCATGTGAAGAAAGCACACTAATGAAGGGTAATAGCAGCTTCTAGCCTAAAGAGTGTCCAACTGGGACCAGCCAGCCAAAACATTTCTGTGTGTTCCAGCTCTGAGAGGATGTTACAGACGTCACAAAGCTGCCGTCAGGAGGAAATGGATGATAGAACAACTAGGGCCCATCTCTGCTCTAGTGCTGCACGGATACAAGATTTCCCACGACTCACCCAAGTCCTAGACTTACTACTTCTATCCTCTTCACATTACTCATGAACTGGCCTCACACAGTGTGTGTGTCTGCATGGTGGGGATGCTGTACTGCTGAATTTGAGCAAGATCTCCCCAACATTTGAAGGTCAAATAAAAAAAACTATAAAGAAAAATAGTTTAATAGTTGCACTGCCACGCTAGTTAAACACACGCCGTAAAAACTGTTGCTTTCCTGAGAAGAAACCAGTTAAGTTTCATATTTAACCACTGTTCCCTGTAAAGTTTTCTTCCCTCTCAAAAATAGTACACTGTGCCCAAACTCATTGTCTAGAAAAAACAGATCCATACATCAGAGGTGAGTTCAACAAGGCTTCTGTTTGCGGCGATCATGTTGCCAGAGTAACAATTTCAGTTGAACGATTTGAATGAACATTCCAAAATGTTACGGTGAAACATCAAATAGCTTCTTTTTGTAAGGATTACTGTAGCTTTTTAGCGACAATATTCAAACTGAGAATGACTTAATTATTCCTACTAAATTCATTCTACTAAATGATTCAGAGGGGTTGGGTTAAATGGGAAAGACATACTTCAGTTGAATGCATTCAGTTGTGCTGGCAACTGACTAGGTATACCCCTTTCACTTTACCTAAATATAGTAGAAAGTCTATATGGCCACTATTATTTTTAGAGGCAGTTTAGATCCGAAACAGACACTTGTGTTTGCTGCACACTAGCTTCTCAGACTGTTTGCCAATGTTCGTGGCTAACACAAAACAAATGGAATATGTTAGCCAACGTTCATGAACTATTTCGGACTCCTGAGTGGCGCAGTGGTCTAAGGCACTGCATCGCAGTGCTATCTGTGCCACTAGAGATCCTGGTTCGATTCCAGGCTCTGTCGCAGCCGGCCGCGACCGGGAGTCTCATGGGCGGCGCACAATTGGCCCAGCGTCGTCTAGGGGAGGGAATGGCCGGCAGGAATGTAGCTCAGTTGATAGAGCAAAAAAAAAAAAAAAACAATAATGTAACTGTAAGTCGCTCTGGATAAGAGCGTCTGCTAAATGACTAAAATGTAAATGTAATTGTAAAAACTCATTCTGATTGGCTGGGCTTGGCTCCCCAGTGGATGGGCCTATGCCCTCCCAGGCACACCCATGGCTGCACCCCTGCAAAGTCATTTGAAATCCATAGATTAGGGCCTAATGAATTTATTTAAATTGACTGATATCCTTATATGAACTGTAACTCAGTAAACATTTTGAAATTGTTGTGTTTATCTTTCTGTTCAGTATAGATTTTAGTTAATGTGTCCTATATAAATCTCAGCCATCAAACCCATCAATCTAGAGAGAAATACTTGAAGCAGCAATGAATGAGCTTCCCTGGATGTGTTTTTAAATGGAATAGTCGATCATATAGTTCCTGACATCGTCTGGCAAAAACGCCACTGTTCAGACCTTGGCGCTCTGCTACTGAACTCCTGAGTGATAGCAGTCTACACCCCCACCTAGTGGTGAATTAGAAGTGCAGTTCTTTATAGAGGAAGTCATGCCAGGGCAGTTTTCACTGTTTCCATTAGGGGATTTGGTTAAACTGGCCCAGGTTGCACTGGGCTATGGTCAGTCACGTGACCGTGCAAAAGACAGAGGGAGGAACACCCTGCTCAAATCGAACAGTAATCTGAGCTGCTCGGTCATATTGTCAACAAGGCAGCATGATGCATCGTACAGAAACATTTAACATTTATTTTCCATAAAATATAAATTCAAATTTTCTAACTAGTTTTCATTGGGAAGGCAGGCAAAGAGTTTTAAACCACAAGCAATCACTTTGCATGTGATAACACAGAATCCTACTCATCACTCCACGTGCTTAACCTAAGTCACTTTTGTTTGAGTCTACTTCACCGTCGGCCAGAGGGACGCCCGGGAGGCAGCCCAGTTCCAAAACGAATGCAATAACTTTTCACCCGGTGTAAACTCCGCCCACCCGGGCCAGTTGAATAGGATCCCCTCAATCATACCCTCTTATCCAAACACATTAGTCAAACACACCTCCTTTATTGAATACATAGAACCAAGACTACTTCCTGGTATAACAGGACCTGAACAACCAGCTGATCAAGGATTGGTCTAAATTAATTTCAATATATTCCTTCTTATTCAAAAGTGACCAACCATATTGCTTTCAGCTCAAAGCCTTTGTGAACATTGGCTTAGAGGGAGAGGGGACCAGGAGAGGAAACCAATTTAGGATATACTGAGATAAAAGGAAGGAAGTCATTTAAGAGTATTGGATCACATTTGGTGACATTTGGTGAGTCACCTTTGGCCTCCAGTCGAGAGCGAGACACAGAAGAGGGCAGAGAGAGACAGCTAGAGAGAAAGAAAGAAAAACTTCCAGTGAGAAAGAGACAGAGGGCTACTAACCTTAGCCCCACAGTCTGCTCCTTTCTGGACACAGAAGCCAACAAAGGCAGGGTCTGCTACTTTAACCAGGATGTTGTCCACACAGTAGACATGGATGAACTTGACCCCCTTCCGATCCATGTCCTCCACGATCCCCTGGGTACCCAGAGCTCTGTAAAGACCCCCGTTACCGTCTGAAACACACACACAGAGACCCCTGTTATCATCTAAAATACACAGACATGCACGCACCCACACACACACACGTTAGGTTGTGTACCTGGGGCCATGGCCAGCTTGTTTTTGCTCTCCAGGATGATCTTGCCATTGTAGTCCATCGCAGGCAGCATGCCCTGCTGGAAGAAGATCACGTTGTCTTTGCACAACCCAAAGTAGCTGTGGCGCGAAAATAACTTTTTAGTTGACTCCATGGTTCGGCCGCTCGTCATGATGTACCTAGGGGGAAATCAGGAGGCACAATTCAGTTAAATGATTCATTCATTCACTGGTCATTATGCACAGGGAGAATGGGGTGATACATTGGGTTTGATTCAAGACTAATACAACTCTCAAGACAGTGGTTCATTAGTTTTTTATCAAATGTTTTCGACTTTTCAGTGTTATTCACTGTATCAGTGACTCATAAGAAGTTTCATAAAATAACTTTGCCAGAAAGTTATTCATAATCCACATAGCCTAATCTGGCAAATATTTTCATCCAGATGAATTTTAGCTTGGCCCCAATGATGTACTGGGCCGTACGCACTACCCTCTGTAGTGCCTTGCGGTCGGAGGCCGAGCAGTTGCCATACCAGGCAGTGATGCAACCAGTCAGGATGCTCTCGATGGTGCAGCTGTAGAACCTTTTGAGGATCTGAGGACCCATGCCAAATCTTTTCCTCTGTGGTCCTCTGTAGCTCAGCTGGTAGAGCACGGCGCTTGTAACGCCAAGGTAGTGGGGTCGAACCCCGGGACCACCCATGTACAAAAAAAAAAAAAATGTATGCACGCATGACTGTAAGTCGCTTTGGATAAAAGCGTCTGCTAAATGGCATATTATTATTATTATTATTATATTTTCAGTCTCCTTAAGGGGAATAGGTTTTGTCGTGCCCTCTTCACGACTGTCTTGGTGTGCTTGGACCATGTTAGTTAGTTGGTGATGTGGACACCAAGGAACTTGAAGCTCTCAACCTGCTCCACTACAGCCCTGTCGATGTGAATGGGGCGTGCTCGGTCCTCTTATTTTTCCTGTAGTTCACAATCATCTCCTTTGTCTTGATCACGTTGAGGGAGAGGTTGTTGTCCTGGCACCACACGGCCAGGTCTCTGACCTCCTCCCTATAGGCTGTCTCGTCATTGTCGTGATCAGGCCTACCACTGTTGTGTCATCGGCAAACTTAATGATGGTGTTGGAGTTGTGCCTGGCCATGCAGTCATGAGTGAACAGGGAGTACAGGAGGGGACTGAGCACGCACCCCTGAGGGGCCCCTGTGTTGAGGATCAGCGTGGCGGATGTGTTGTTACCTACCCTTACCACCTGGGGCGGTGCGTCAGGAAGTCCAGGATCCAGTTGGAGAGGGAGGTGTTCAGACCCAGGGTCCTTAGCTTAGTGATGAGCTTTGAGGGCACTATGGTGTTGAACCCTGAGCTGTAGTTAATGAATAGCATTCTCACATAGGTGTTCCTTTTGTCCAGGTGTGAAAGGGCAGTGTGGAGTGCAATAGAGATTGCATCATCTGTGGATCTGTTGGGGCGATGTGCAAATTGGAGTGGGTCTAGGGTTTCTGGGATAATGGTGTTGATGTGAGTCATGACCAGCCTTTCAAAGCACTTCATGGCTACAGACATGAGTGCAACGGGTCGGTAGTCATTTAGGCAGTTTACCTTAGTGTTCTTGGGAACAGGGACTATGGTGGTCTGCTTGAAACATCTTGGTATTACAGACTCAGACAGGGAGAGGTTAAAAATGTCAGTGAAGACACTTGCCAGTTGGTCAGCGCATGCTCGGAGTACACGTCCGGGTAATACGTCTGGCCCTGCAGCCTTGTGAATGTTGACCTGTTTAAAAGGTCTTACTCACATCGGCTACGGAGAGCGTGATCACACAGTCATCTGGAACAGCTGATGCTCTCATGCATGTTTCAGTGTTACTTGCCTCAAAGCGAGCATAGAAGTAATTTAGCTCGCCTGGTAGGCTCGTGTCACTGGGCAGCTCGCGGCTGTGCATCCCTTTGTAGTCTGTAATAGTTTGCAAGCCCTGCCACATCTGACGAGCGTCGGAGCCGGTGTAGTACGATTCGATCTTAGTCCTGCATTGACGCTTTGCCTGTTTGATGGTTCGTCGGAAGGCATAGCGGGATTTCTTATAAGCTTCCGGGTTAGAGGCCCGCTCCTTGAAAGCGGCAGCTCTACCCTTTAGCTCAGTGCGGATGTTGCCTGTAATCCATGGCTTCTGGTTGGGGTATGTACGTACAGTCACTGTGGGGACAACGTCATCGATGCACTTATTGATGAAGCCAGTGACTGATGTGGTGTACTCCTCAATGCTATCGGAAGAATCCCAGAACGTATTCCAGTCTGTGCTAGCAAAACAGTCCTGTAGCTTAGCATCTGCTTCATCTGACCACTCTTTTATTGACCGAGTCACTGGTGCTTCCTACTTTACTTTTTGCTTGTAAGGAGGATAGAATTATGGTCAGATTTTCCAAATGGAGGGAGAGGGAGAGCTTTGTACGCGTCTCTGTGTGTGGAGTAAATGTGGTCTACAGTTTTTTTTCCTCTGGTTGCATATTTAACATGCTAGTAGAAATTAGGTAAAACGTATTTAAGTTTCCTTGCATTAAAGTCCCCGGCCACTAGGAGCGCCACCTCTGGATGAGCGTTTTCCTGTTTGCTTATGGCTGTATACAGTTCATTGAGTGCGGTCTTAGTGCCAGCATCGGTTTGTGGTGGTAAATAGACAGCTACGAAAAATATAGTTACTGCATGATTTTAGCGGCTTTACTAACGCGTTAGTTCTATTAGCTATGTTGACTATGACGTTACTTTAGCTAATACGGTGACAATGATGTAGGCTGTGTGTAGCTATGATATGGTTTGGCTTGGAAAGGATTTTTCGCCTGGTCACATACAGCTGATGTGTTGTGCATTGAAGTCCACAAGTGAAGGGAAAAGGTGAGAGGAGGAGAGCGCATAGATGCGAGAAGGAATATAATGTGGCTGCTATAAAAGTGAACGGTGTTTACACGTGATCAGGTATGTATTCATTCCGCCGATTCTGTTGAAAAACGTTTCTTAAACTGAAGCAAACGGAACAAAATGGGGATAAACATAGCTGAATTTGTCCAATAGAAACTCTCATTTGCAACTGTTGGACTAATGACTACACCCTATATCAGCTAGATGCAGGCAAGAGTGTGCAAGGTGTTATTGAATGCGTCACGGTCTGTCACCTCAAAAACATTTCTCGACCTGTGTGCAACTACGTTGTAAACTTTAATTAATAGACTAGGTTGTAGCAGCCTCATGATGGGTATAGGGAAAATTTGAGTATCATGTAGTAGCCTTAACCTATCGCAGTTACATTGAACTGGGTGAATGGAATATGAATGACAGTCATCCAATATGCTGTAACAGAAATAATGCCATGCTCATGAAAAAAGAAACCCATGACTAGACAAAACCAGAAGTAATTCCTTATGACTGGAATGAATGTCACCTGGCATCTCATGGTGAGCTCTTAGTCCTGACCCCTGACCTTAATTACAGACGGAGCCCAGCCCAACCCTGGATGCCAGCGAGACATGTCTCCTTCCATCAACCAACTCCTGAATCGTCTTAATTACTTCCTTCATCTACTCCACAGGGAATTATAATCCTGCTCTTTTCCGGGATCAAACCACTTCCTGATTGATACAGGTGAGTGCCAACAATAGAGTGCCTTCAGAAAGTATTCATACCCCTTTACTTTTTCCACATTTTGTTGTTACAGCCTGAATTTACAATGGATTCAATGTAGATTTTTTTGTCACTGGCCTACACATACACACACACACAATACCTCATAATGTCGAAGTGGAATTATGGTTTTCAAAATGTTAAAAATGAAAAGCTAAAATGTCTTGAGTCAATAAGTATTCAACCCCTTTGTTATGGCAAGCCTAAAGTTCAGGAGTAAAAATGTGCTTAACAAGTCAAATAATAAGTTGCATGGACTCACTGTGTGCAATAAGGGTTTATCATGATTATTGAATGACTGCCTCATCTCTGTACCCACACAAACAATTATCTGTAAGGTCCCTCAGTCGAGCAGATTCAACCACAAAGACCAGGGAGGTTTTCCAATGCCTCGCAAAGAAGGGCACCTATTGGTAGATGGGTAAAAAAAAGATTTCGAGCATGGTGAAGTTATTAATTACACTTGGGATGGTGTATCAATACACCCAGTCACTACAAAGATAAGGGAGTCCTCCCTAACGCAGTTGCTGGAGAGAAAGGAAACCGCTCAGGGATTTCACCATGAGGCCAATGGTGACTTTAAAACAGTTACAGAGTTTAATGGTTGTTATAAGAGAAAACTGAGTGAAAAGAAGTAAGCCTGTACAGAATAAAATATTCCAAAACATGCATCCTGTTTGCAACAAGGCACTAAAGTAATACTGTATATGATTTGGTAAAGAGGGCCTAAAATGAACTTTTTGGTCCATCCAGACACTGTGGCAAGTAGATAATAATAAATCAAGCAATCTACCAGCCACTGATTTTTTTACCAGCCAAAATATTTTGGGGAACATAATTACATAAAAACCTCACAAAAATAACAGATAACCATGCTTTGTAATGTTTCTAAAACAATACATTTATTAGTAAGAAGTAATGCATTTCATTTTTTGTCAGATACAAATGTTCAGCTGCCAGTTTAAGGGCGGGAGGTTACCGTGGTAACGGGGACACTCAAGTCCTATTGTGTGCGCACGCGCGTGAGATTTTGGATCTGACAAGGCTAGGGCGTCTATTCCCTATCAGTTTAACCAGCAGACTCAAACTATCGTTGAAAAACAACTGAACAAATGTAAATAGCCAAGAAACACAAGGACAAAGTCTCACTTTGTAGACTTCAGAGTACATTAAAGCAACTTTTATGCCTGTGCACAGCGCCTCCAAAAAAGGTATCTACAGTTGAAGTCGGAAGTTTACATACACCTTAGCCAAATACATTTAAACTCTGTTTTTCACAATTCCTGACAATTAATCCTAGTAAAAAGTCCCTGTCTTAGGTCAGTTAGGATCACCTCTTTATTTTAAGAATGTGAAATGTCAGAATAATAGTAGAGAATTATTTATTTCAGCTTTTATTTCTTTCATCACATTCCCAGTGGGTCAGAAGTTTACACACACTCAATTAGTATTCGGTAGCATTGCTTTTAAATAGTTTAACTTGGGTCAAACGTTTCGGGTAGCCTCCCACAAGCTTCTCACAATAAATTGGGTGAATTTTGGCCCATTCCTCCTGACAGAGCTGGTGTAACTGAGTCAGGTTTGTAGGCCTCCTTGCTCGCACACGCTTTTTCAGTTCTGCCCACAAAGTTTCTATAGGATTGAGGTCAGGGTTTTGTGATGGCCACTCCAATACCTTGACTTTGTTGTCCTTAAGCCATTTTGCCACAACTTTGGAAGTATGCTTGGGGTCATTGTCCATTTGGAAGACCCATTTGCGACCAAGCTTTAACGTCCTGACTGATGTCTTGAGATGTTGCTTCAATATATCCACATACATTTTCCTTCCTCATGATGCCATCTAGTTTGTGAAGTGCACCAGTCCCTCCTGCAGCAAAGCACCCCCACAGCATGATGCTGCCACCCCTGTGCTTCATGGTTGGGATGGTGTTCTTCGGCTTGCAAGCCACCCCTTTTTACACCAAACATAACGATGGTCATTATGGTCAAACAGTTCTATTTTTGTTTCATCAGACCAGAGGACATTTCTCCCCATGTGCAGTTGCAAACCGTAGTCTGGCTTTTTTATGGCAGTTTTGGAGCAGTGGCTTCTTCCTTGCTGAGCGGCCTTTCAGGTTATGTCGATATAGGACTCGTTTTACTGTGGATAGATACTTTTGTACCCGTTTCCTCCAGCATCTTCACAAGGTCCTTTGCTGTTGTTCTGGGATTGATTTGCACTTTTCGCACCAAAGTACTCTAGGAGACAGAACGCGTCTCCTTCCTGAGCGGCATGATGGCTGCGTGGTCCCATGGTGTTTATACTTGCATACTATTGTTTGTACAGATGAATGTGGTACCTTCAGGCGTTTGGAAATTGCTCCCAAGGATGAACCAGACTTGTGGAGGTCTACAAAAAAAATTCTGAGGTCTTGGCTGATTTATTTTGATCTTCCCATGGTGTCAAGCAAAGAGGCACTGAGTTTGAAGGTAGGCCTTGAAATACATCCACAGGTACACCTCCAATTGACTCAAATGATGTCAATTAGCCTATCAGAAGCTTCTAAATCCATGACATCATTTTCTGGAATTTTCCAAGCTGTTTAAAGGCACAGTCAACTTAGCTTATGTAAACTTCTGACCCAATGGAATTGTGATACAGTGAATTATAAGTGAAATAATCTGTCTGTAAACAATTGTTGGAAAAATTACTTGTGTCATGCACAAAGTAGATGTCCTAACCGACTTGCCAAAACGATAGTTTGTTAACAAGAAATGTGTGGAGTGGTTGAAAAATGAGTTTTAACGACTCCAACCTAAGTGTATGTAAACTTCCGACTTCAACTGTATATCAGCACTTCACACATTGCACACAGCTCCACTGTTGCTGTGCGAGGTGGGATATAGGATTTCATATTTATTTGTGCAATTAGCAGCTATGAAACAAAACAGCAGAAATACTTTGAAAACAGCTACTGCAGCATTTGTCTAACCCTAACTCGTACGTGGTCATACTTTACTTTTTACAATTTTTCTTAGCTAATTAAATGCTTGCACTGTAGAGCCCTGCAAATTGACCACCCGCCAACATTGCTGAAGAAATAGACATTCTTACCCGCCAATACCTAAATATACCCTCATTTGGCAGGTGGCAGTTGTTAATTTTATGGTGGCTAAGCAATTAACTTTTTGTCCTGAATACAAAGTGTTATGTTTGGAGCAAATCCAATACATTACGGTGTACCACTCCATATTTTTAAGCATAGTGGTGGCTGCATCATGTTATGGGAATGCTTGTAATCGTTAAGGACTGGGGAGTTTTTCAGGATGAAAAAATAAATGGAATGGAGCTATACACAGACAGAATCCTAGAGGAAAACCTGGTTCAGTCTGCTTTCCACCAGACATTGGGAGATTAATTCACCTTTCAGCAGGACAATAACCTAAAACGCAAGGCCAAATCTACACTGGAGTTGCTTACCAAGAAGACAGTGAATATTCTGAGTTGGCAGACTTACAGTTTTGACTTAAATCTGCTTGAAAATCTATGGCAAGACATGAAAATGATTGTCTAGCAATGATCAACCACCAATTTGACAGAGCTTGAACAATTTTGAAATAATAAAATGGGCAAATGTTGCACAATCCAGGTGTGGAAAGACTTACCCAGAAAGACTCATAGCTGTAATCACTGCCAAAGGTGATTCTAACATGTATTGACTTCAGAGGGTTGAATACTTATCTAATCAAGATAAATTAGTGTTTTACAAATATAATACTTTTTCGTCCACTTTGACTGAGTATTTTGTGTACATCGTTGACAAAAAAATGACAATTAAATCCATTTTAGTCCCACTTTGTAACAACAAAATGTGGAAAAAGTCAAGGGGTGTGAATACTTTCTGAAGGCACTGTATAATAATAATAAGACAGATGAAACTGGAGAACAGAGGGGGATCATAAAAACGTATCTTTGATACAATAACAACTTTCTATGGTTTGTTTGTGATTTCACAGACCGGGCTTTAACAAAAATGGGCCCCTCAGAAATGGATTGAGAAACAGTGCTCTGTGGTCAGCTTGCTGTGGTGCTGTATGTTCTGTAAAGTATAACCCCCATAGTGTATCATTATGCCCTTAGCTGCCAGTCCCAGTCTCACCAGGGGATGCAGCACTTAGCTCCATAACTCTGTTCTGCCAGCTGTTGCAGCCTCAGTATCCTCTCTGCCTGGATCTGGAACAGGGTCTTGTGGGATGGCAGGCCCACGTCGTACATGCCTTTAGGGTAGGACACCCCCAGCCTGGTCCCCTGGCCGCCCGCTAGCAGGAGAACAGCCACCCTGCTCTGGGAGATACACCGCAGACCTGGGTGAGGAGAGAGACAATAGATCAGTTAATGTATGAGACTTTCATTTAGCTAGCTACTCCTTCACTACTACCAAAATTAAGGACCCACTTAGATGATGCTACGGCAGTTACATGGTGCCAGAAAGCACACCACATTTCAATAATATTTCAAGAGCAGCCTTGTAATTATGCCCTCCCCACGATCCTCATCACTGCACACCTCTACTGTCTTGCTTTCGGCTTCTCTCCATCCTCAACCTCCAGACACTGGCAGGCATTCGAACCAAAACAGATATGCCACTAGAAATGTGTTCATTTGCAGGTAGAAATGTTTTCAACATCCACTGAAGTAGCTAGCAAGTTTACTAGATAGCTAGCTACAGTAGTTGCCGTGGTAACCAAACAAACAGACTTACTAGTTTAGCTAACCAAACCATCCGTCCTAGCTTGCCATTAGGAAAATCTAACAGAACAATTTAATAACGTTTTCAATTCGACTTTTGCTTTCAAAAAGCATTTCTAACATAGAACATGTAAGAATGAACTATAGCCATTGAATTCTACCGTGCAAATATACTGTGCGTTATAGGGAAATAATACACGCTCTAGAACGCCCTTCAAGCCAATCAGAAACAAGCATTCAAAAATGTCATGGTATAATTACGCAATAAGGCCCAAGGGGGTGTGGTATATGGCCATTATACAACGGGTGGGTCTAATCCTGAATGCTGATTGATTAAAACTGCATTCCAGCTGGTGTCTATTTCACATGTTACCACAGGCTAAATATATGACGTTGAAATGCCTATTTACTCTGTTCCATCTGACTGTGCAATCCACTGTCTCATCAACCCTGCCAGGAAATGTATAAACTTGATCTCCACTATAAAAAGCATCTAGACATTATCTCCCATTTCTTTTAGACTAGCATTTGGTTTTCAACAGCAGAGATTTGTATAAACCTTGCTGTCCGTCTCTCCGACCTTTTCAATATTGAATTACGATCTCCACGGTCCCATATAAAGTGTATGTGTCCGAACGAGCCAGACAGCAAATTGAGCTGGTTGTCATGGCAACATACTATTTTTTCAGTTGACTGGCTAAATCGATACTTGTTGCAAAAACTAAAATGGATGAGTGGAACATTTATTTTGATCTTTTCGGCGGCATGACTATGGATGAATGGGAAAAAGAGATGGCAATAATACCCAGGCATGCAGATTTGGGGGATACTGCATTGAATGACCTAGAGAAAAGCCGCAACAACAAAAAAAACACAGTTAAGAATACAAACTGGGCTGTGCGGTGCTTCGAGGGCTGGCTAGCAGAGAAGAGAAAAGTTGTTGACTTCAAAACTGTCACTAAGGAAGAGTTTAACATCCTTCTCCGACAGTTTTATGGAAATGTACGAAATGGGAAGGGGGAGCAGTACAGCATAAGTAACTACCTGGCACTCCAGAGTGGGCTCAACTGATTTCTAAATGACCCACACATCGGTCACAGCTGGTGCCTTATGAAGGACACTGAATTTACCACCTCAAATCATGTATTTCTGGGCAACATCAAACAGCTAAGGCGGCAAGGAAAATATATCACGAACAGCCACCCTCCCATCACCAATAAGGACATGGCCCAGCTCCAAAACTCCCAGGCTCTGAATCCCGGTACACCAAGGGGTCTGGTCCAGAAAGTGTGGTTCGACCTCCAGTTACATCTGGGTCGAAGAGGAAAAGAGGGGAACAGACAACTAAAGCCCAACTCATTCCTTGTAAAAACAGACGAGAACGGTCTAAGGTATGTTGTTCATAGCCTGTTTGTGTTATTTCTAAGTTGCACTCGTAATTAGGCTACTGGAAAACAATATTATAACAATGCATTCTCTCTCTCAGATACGCCACTCTCGCATATAACGAGGCCACAAAGAATCATCCGGACCCAAGGGAGAGGGGCAGGGAGTCCAAGAGGGGATTCATGTTCAAGCAGCCAGGGAACCCACTATGCCCAGTGGCATCACTGGAGAAATATCTATTGAAATGCCCGGATAACGCCCTTGCATTTTATCTCCACCCAAGGAGAGGAGAGTGTATCGGGGACTCGATCTGGTACACTTCAGAGCTGATGGGCGTGAACTATCTGGCAGCACTTCTACCCAAGATCTGCAGGGCAGCCGGAACAACTACATATACAAATCACAGCATCAGGACCACGACAGTCCAGAAACTGGCCAATGCTGGTTTAGAAGCGAAGGAGATTGTCAGTGAGTGGGCATCAGCTCAAATGAATGTCATGGATTGTCTTTCTTTTGTCTGAACAGTGTCCTGACAAGAGAGCACATTTTCTCTGCCAGGCAAAGTCGCGCATCATAAGCGGATTGTTATGGATGTATCCAAATAAATGTCCCAAGAAAACAGCTTCAACAAATGCAAATGCAGCTACTTTGCTGGCTGAACTTTTTGACGTAACTGTAAATTAGCCGTAGTTGGCTAGCTAGCAAACAAGGGATAAGAACGTTGCCAGCCAGTATGGCAATGGAACATTTAGAACGAACGACTGGGTCGCGTCTATAGATACTGAACAAAAAGACTGAACGACTGGGTCGCGTCTCTAGCAACCCTAGATTTGTGTCGGGACTATATCTTGTGGAAGGATGAAATAGCACGAATAAATTAATCCAAATAACGTTTTTAATTAAAATAGGTAAATCATTATTTGAATATGTTGGTAACCCGTGGTATATTGGTTTAAATATACCACGGCTAAGTTCATATGCACGACACAACATGGAATGTGGGACAGTTGGAAAATATATCCCGACACCTTGCAATCATGACGCAATAAGCGCCTACACATGCAGACCGTATTTGCTACAAAGTTACAGAAAGCTAAACCAACAACCACACAAACCGAAATTGGATACATTGTAAACGCAGGTTCAACAATTATATATATATATATATATATATATATATATATATATATATATATATATATATATATATTTTAGCTAGCTAGCATTCATTTGTTTTTGCAGAGACCATTTGTTTTTAGCATCTGATGACCTAGCTAACGTGGTGAGTGATGAACATGAATTTCTCTGGTCCTTACTATTCATGACGCAAGTGGCGCTATGCTGTCAAATCCTCCCACATTTGTAGTTTGACCAGCTGTTTTCAGCAACTTCTATTTTTTTATTCAGTTGTCATATTGGCAGGTTTGTTAGCAACAAACTATTTAGTTAGCTTCTAGCCTAGTGTTTGATATGCAATGCGATCTCCTCGTAATGAACAGTGTCGAGTGTCCTGACGAGAAGGCAAACCTTTCTTGCTATGCCAGGCAAAATCGGGCATTATCAGCTCATTGTTATGGATGTCTCCAAATGAATATCAATACAAAACATCTACTTTCCTGTTATTCTGGCTGCAGTCTGGCTGTCGTGACTGTGTTAGCCGTAGCTAGCTGGCAAGCAAGGGATAATAACGTTGCCAGCGAGTATGGCAACGGAACATAAAGAACGAGCGACTGGGTCGCGTACATAAATATCAAACGAACAACTGGGTCGCGTCTCTAACAACCAAAATATGAGAAAGTAGGAATTTGCTTATTAAAATGTATATATTTACTACGTTTTTTTATTTCTACCGGTAAATGTGTGCTTCCAAATTGTTTTCTTTGGCGACTGTGGTATAAGCGGGATAAACGCCTCCATTCTGTACATTACCTTGGAAAAATGAACTCCGGCATAAGGTAATGTACAGAACGTCGGCGTTTATCCCTTACATATGTTTTTGTTTTAAGAATGAACAATTAATAGGTAAAAAATGCCATAAATTAAAAACATTTACAAAATGTACAGGAGCCCTCTGCTTAGGCTGCTGATGGGCGCCATGGCAACTGTAGAACTATGAAATATGGTACAAACAATAGGCCTATAGCTTATTCAAGCAATATAACTAAAACTAAACATATTTGTGATGGTTGCCAAAACTCAAGAACACTATGGAATTTTATGGCTAACGTATAATCTACCTTGGAAAGGAGTCCTGATACAATCATTGCAGGTGAAACAGCAAGATAAACTCAAAATAACCCATAGTTCAATTACAGTCAACCTCACTATCTAAACATACCAGGTCAACTACACCCTTATTATACAGCTCTACTTTATCTTACAATAAACTGTTGTTATGCGAGTCAGTGATTAGCCCACAAATATGCACACAAGGTCCTGAGCCATTGAGAGTGGACTGGAAGGTGCTATTGTAGGCTTTGGCTATCCTGACTCATACACACCCTGGGGTGTATGTATCCTTAGCTTGCTGCTGTAGATGTTGGCTGCCCTGACACACACACACACACAAACGATTAAGAACTGACGCAGAGCTGGATGACCTCATGAGTGAGGGCGCAGTGAGCAGTACCCCATTTACGTCAGGCCCAAACCAGAAACAGATGCTCCCTCCCTCCTCCTCCTTCATCCCCCAGGCTGGACCTCCCCAGCTACAGGTCAGGCCTGCTAAACATTCAGAGGTTTTACTCCAAGGGAGTAGCCTATTTTACAAGGCTACGCCAGTTAAATGTCTCAAACAACTCCATATTTCCTAGATCATGATGAAAGAGAAACTGGACAAGGGAATGGTGTGACTGAATTGATGTTCTCAATAAACCCATATTCAGCTTTCTTTATGAATCAGAGTGTTAAGAGTTATAAGGCTCACTGATGGTGCTTTGTGAAATACAAGCCAGGATCCCCCTTAGCCATTTCAACATCACAAGCCATCAAGGTTTACCCACTTTCCCCTAAGGGTTGCCAGGTCATGTAAGGGTTGCAAGGTCTTGTTTAACCTCAGGGTTACCATTATATGATCCCAGTAAATACTACATGCTGCTGCCCGTCACTGTGCTATTTGAAGAGGGTTACCAGAGACATGTTGGACGGGTTAGTTCCAGTAGCCCTGCCTGCCCTAAGGAAATTATCACCCCACTACCTGGGAGTGTTGAATAAGGTTTGACCTCAGTTTATGCCCTTGCGTAACTGAGAAGACCGACACACACACACACACACACACACACACTGCACGAACAGAACGTAATACTAATCAGAATATACACCTACTATATAACATTATATCGCGCACCATAAAACCTGATATGATTTCCCTGTCTGTCTGTTTCACTTCCTGGTAGCATATAAAATAGAGGTTGTTGTAAATCGGTGGAATTCAATCCCTTGAATGAAATAAGCTCCTGTTTAAAAAGCTAAATAGAAACTGCTTCAGGCTTTGTGGAAGAAATGCATCATTATGACTGAGTCACAAAAGTGTCAACTCCAAGCTCAATCAAGATTGAAGTTTTCATGTATTTGACATACAGTACTTGATCCTGGTCTTGTCCCCCCCCACCCACCCACCCACCAAATGGGAACCCCTGTACCAGCTGACTCACCCTCCTCTTCCCAGACCTTGAGGCAGTCTCTGTCCCTGGTCACGCTGCCCAACACCTCCCTGGGCACCGGCTCCATGCGGGTGTCCATCTTCTCCTGCTTGCTGCTGCCCGACACCTCCATGGCGCTGCCGAAGAACTTGTTGATCTCCTGGAAGTCCATAGCTTCCAGGTCAGAGGTCATCTCGGCTTGCTGCTCGGGGGTCAGCTCGTCCCAGAACTGCACGAGGTGAGACTGGCCGGCTTCAGCCAGCCTCTGGGCCAGTCTGCTTCTGGTGCTCTCCATGACAATGATCACACTGCTGGGTTAGGGCTAAAATAATCTCCTCTAGGGAATCTACCTACCACACCCAGAACAGAATAGGAAAGTGTTGTGAGTGTCAGGGATATGTAACTAGCCTACACAGTCATGATGATTGACTACATTACTGGGCTCAAAACTCATCTGAAAACTAACACACCCAATACAATGGAAACGTATTGTGAGTGTCATTTGAATACACTTGCTCTAAATAGAAACATAGATGCTGGTACCTCTCTGGTTCAACACTAGCCATATTTATGACTAAAAATATAATAAATTGTACAATCTGAATTTTTGTCAACACGTACATCATTGATATCTGTGGTACCGTAATGACATGGGTGTGCCTGCCATGTTTCTTCTAGCAAATCATTAGTTAGGTGACTTTATTAGACACATCTATGAGGACATTCTAGTAGGGAACTTGTTACAAACTAGACTACACGCCCATCTGTCCATTTCCCCTTTGATTTACATCAACAGATAAACTGAGCTGTCAATTTGGCACCCCAATACTGGCGTAAATTTGCTTGATCTTTTCTACTGCAATAAGCAGGCCAGAACCATATCCTCGGGACACCAATAAGTGGTGTTTACTTATGTTGACACTAAACAGAACATTTCCCCTGTCAGACAATCCAAGACATAGAAAGTGTTCTAACATGCAATGAATACAGAAGTCCCTCTTTGATGCACCAAATCTATTTACAGGTTATTTCTAAGTTAGCTAGCTAATGTAATACTACACATTTAACACTATCATATAGAGCCATAATGCCGCGGTTATGTTAACTAATCAAATCGGATATTAACTAGCTATCTAACTAACTACATGATGACTATCATCATCATACCATTTGTGGTCCTAAACATCACGCTGTGGGCGCGCGACGATAATTGAAACCTCGTATTCTACACACGTGGTTGAATATTATTATTTTTGCTAACTAGACTATTCGATGTAAATATAGCTAAGATAATAGCAATTGGAGTTTATATAGGCTTACCTTCAACGCTGTGTCTAGGAATCAATTTGGCCGGACAGCGTCTAACAGGAGATTCTTGTATTGGCCACGGTGCCCCCACCCCCTCGAGTACACCTCCTACATCCGTCACTTTGACGTGGCACTCGAGTCGAATGGGAACGCCCTACAGCTCACTTACATTTTGCCGTTACAGTATTGAAGAAAAAGTCAGAAAAACTGAGTAAGATCAGATCAGTAAGATCATATTAACCATAAAGTGCTTAACCATAAAGATGAACCATAAACAGACAACTATGGTAGTAAAATAGTTATGAGACCATCCAATGAGAACTGATCCACGGCAAAAAAAAATTGCCCTCATAATTCTTTGTCATTTTTGAACTGTAGACTGATCCCATATCTGTAGGGGACAACAACTGGGGCGGCAGGTAGCTTAGTGGTTAAGAGCGTTGTGCCAGTAACCGAAAGGTCGCTGGTTCTAATCCCCGAGCCGACTAGGTGAAAAATCTGTCGATGTGCCCTTGAGCAAGGCACTTACTAATTGCTCCTGTAAGTCGCTCTGGATAAGAGCGTCTGCTAAATGACCAAAAAAAAAAAAAAAACACCCATCCAATCAGGTACGAGAGGAAGTAGAAACGTGACGTTTGACTTTAATTACGGAGAAGTCTAAATGGGATCCTTGGGACGTCACAACTCTGACGTTACCCCATTGAAGTTGACGTTCAAAAGGTTGAAGAGCAACTGCCCCTATAAACCAACTTCTTATTTCGAAAACACCCTATGTGACATCGATATGAGTCAGGAACATTTATTCTACTGTCAAAATTGACTACAAAGTGTAAATAGGATAATTTTGGTCATAAAGTCAGTCTCGTCCAAAACGGAGTTTTGTGAGACTTGTGGTTATGACAGCATCACAATGGGCGCATTCCTTTGCCCAGGTGTTGCTGACGCCTGTCAGATCTTACAACGCCTGGAAGGGTATTTTAAGTATCAGCTAACCACATTATATGTTATAGCAATCTGTCAGTCGATGACACAGTCGATGATGTGAATATGTACATTTAAAAAATATGTACATTCATTGGAAACTCTAAAATCTCTGACTTCAGTGCATTCAAAACAACTGGGAAATCGGAATGAACAGTCATCCAATTCGGAATTCCAAGTCGGAAACTTGGGCATCTTTCGAGAACACCGATTTTCCGACCTGAAGATCAGTTGTTTCTATATTTCTTAATTCCATTATTTTACTTTTTAGATTAGTGTGTATTGTTGTGTATTGTTAGATATTACTGCACTGTTGGAGCTAGGAACACAAGCATTTCGCTACACCCGCAAGAACATCTGCTAAATATGTGTATGCGACCAATAACATTTTATTGTATTTGTCTTGAAAGCACCAATAGACGGGTTGGCTGACAATGTCACAAAGATGATGCACGCACTTCAATGGGGCAGAAGTCTGTGTGTTATTGTGATTCTGGATGTGAACCCCGTCTGTTTTGCCCCATAGTTGCGCATGTGTTGGTTTTGTTGCTAAACAACCAACCCGTCTATGCAACGTCTGAGCAGGGGAACATGACCAACGTAAATGAAGGTTGGGTTTGTTTCAATCCTGCCCACAGCTGGCAGCGCACAAGTAACTGGGCGTGTTCCTCTGCCCAGGTGTGGCTGACGCTTGCTAGATCTTACAATGCCTGGATAGGTATTTTATGTATCAGCTAAGCACATTTGTTATAGCAATCTGTCAGACGGTGACACAGTCGATGATGTGGAATGCAACCAACATCTGAGCAGGGGAACGTGACCATAATCAGTTCGGAGTGCAGCTGCATGCGACCCAATCATAATTTCCATAGTCAATTTGGGTTGACTTTGAATATCCCTATCGGGCTAGTTAGGAACCATCGGTAAATTAGACAATGTACATGGGACAATATGTTACAATTCCAATAGCTCCATATTTCAATGACTTAAAAACCTCAAACCAACTAAAAATTGTATAAATTCATGTACAAATATTGAAAGCATTAAATTAGAAAACTAAAAGGTGTACAACATGAAAATATTGTGTAATTTATTGACAGTCCCGGAGATAGGCCCCCCTGGAGATAGGCTATCCAAAGTCAAACCAATTTTGCCACAGTCGCACACCAGCTGGCTGAAGCTGCACTGAGCAAAAATATAAACGCAACATGCAACAATTTCAAAGATTTTACTGAGTTAAAGTTGTAGCCCATGTATCTGATGCGGTCTGGCCAGAAAAAGTATGACATGCCATACTCCCTTTGTCCAGACAGCATCAGAGTGGCGCTGTTTCACACGCGCGGATGCTTTATCTGAGATTGATGCGTCTTTCTGTCGGTGAGTCTTGGTCAAATAAATGATCAATATTTTATTTGGATGGGCAAGGAGGTACGGTAGGGTGGGGTGGGCCAGGCTCCCTAGGGCCCACCAGAACACCGACCCTGTCTAAGATGTTGGTTACTTCTATGGGAGACTGTAGTTCATATTCTTCATGTTACACCTACATGAGGACTGCATGAACTTTACAAAAACCATGTGATCAAAGGTAATTTAGTTTTGACTGTACATTTCTGCAGTTACTCTTCACCAACTCCATCCTGCAGCCATTACCTACATTATGGGAGGCTCTATTGTCAGCCAATCATTAGGGTGTTTTTGTTTGACTCGCACGAATGTGACCGAAGACCTGACTGAAACAGGAACCAACTTTGCCGCAATTAATGTAACAGTTATGTGATATGAGGCTCTCTCTCACCAATTGATAGTACAATGTACACACATACACTGAGTGTACAAAACAGTAGGAATACCTTCCTAATATTGAGTTGCACCCCCTTTTGCCCTCTGAACAGCCTCAGGGCATGGACTCTACAAGGTGTTGAAAGCATTCCACAGGGATGCTGGCCCATGTTGATTCCAATGCTTACAACAGTTGTGTCAAGTTGGCTGGATGTCCTTTGGGTGGGCAACCATTGTTGATCCATGGGAAATTATCTCAAAGCTTAAAAATCCTTCTTTAACCTATATCCTCCCAGTCATCTACACTGAGGTGAAGTGGATTTAACAGGTGATATCAATAAGGATCATAGCTTTCACCTGGATTCACCTGGTCAGTATGTCATGGAAAGAGCAGGTGTTCCTAATGTTTTGTACACAGTGTATATTTCGTTTGTGAGTGTGTGATATGGGGGTTGGAGACATGTTTATTTCGACATTACAAAGAAAAACTTGTATAAACAATGTCAACACCGCCATGTTGCACTGAGCCCTGCTGTTGGAAAACCACATCAGTGTCCGACTTTCGGCTGTCACAGATGGACCATCGCCGACTTCACTCTTCGACTTTTGTCTACAGTCGGTTTCATTCGCATTACTACTCAAACGAGCCCAAGGTTAGGGGTAGGGACGTCCCAAGGATCTTTCGCCTTACTACTCAAACGAGCCCAGGGTTAGGGACGTCCCAAGGATACGTGTTAGCACTAACCATAGAATGACGGCTGCTGCTTCCGAGGGGATGGCTAGCTAAACAATGACAAAAATATATCATTCTACAAATCAAGAAGAAACATTTCGCTTTTGCAAACTACTTGGATTAACCAAAGTGTTCGGATTAAATGCGTGCAGTTAGGTAGTTTATTTGGTGACCGTGTGCATGCATGTTGTTTAAATTACTGTTTGATTCAACTAACTTAGCTAGCACATGCGAAGTAGCTAACATGTCAGCTATTGGTATCTAAAGTTGAAACACGCAACTGATTTATTATTGAGTTGCATGATCGAGAAATGGATAGTATACACGTTTACAGTGCTGGCTAGTGTCAAAACGTTCGATCTTTTTATCGGGGTGTCTCGCTGGTCGATTGCTATGTGCCAGCAGCTGCATACAGCTGTCTAAAATTTAACTAGCTAGCTAGCTTGCCTTGATTCACTAATCTCAATGATGGCACACTGCAGTTCATCAGATCCAAGTGGGAAGATACCCCGTCCAGATAGCAGCGCAGTATTGATGGCAGGATCTCCCAGAAGCGTTGATCAGGCAATGAGGCCGGTGTTGTTTGAAATATTTGGAGAAATTTGGAACGTCCAGGCCCGGCTCGGGCAAGGCGTCTCGGCCTCGGTATACCGGGTGAGCTCAGGAAGGACGAGTACGGCCGCGGTTAAGGAGTTCCTAGCGGACACTCAGGGCGGAGATTACGGGTACCACAAGGAGAGGTCCGTGCTGGAAGACATCCAAGGACACAAAAACATCGGTAAGGACCTTTTTATTGTATTGTAATATGGTTGTAACGTTACTGTGCACAATCTCTGGAATTACAGAGCTCGTCTTCTAGTGTACCTCATCAATGACCAGGTTATCTGAGAATCAAATTATGAGTCTTATTACAAAGGGTTTAGCTTCATTTAACCTTGGCTACTTGAAATCTGTGTTGTTATCAAGCTGATTGCCAGTCAGTCATTACAACCAAGTCACAGATCTCAATCTTGTCTCAGATCAGTCATAGTAAGCTGTTTTCAGTAACGCTGGTTTTTAAAGTATTCATTGGCATATCGTAAAGCCCTTGTCAGCCACGTAAAACCAACACCTGATGATGATGATGACCCTGACTGACACATCCTAATAACTAGAGAACGACCTCTATGGATTTTTTAGGGCTGATATCAATTTTAGGCCGATATTCAATATTTCCCAGAGACAGCCATGTATGCATAATGCATACATTTTTAAATCAAACAATACAATACATTTTACTTTGTTTTTACCAATCTACCTACATAACAACATAAAGGTAATAATTGTATTTGAATGGTAAATCTCTTGATAAACTGGGTAAATTAAGATGGCAGAGGCCTACTCACAATACAGGTGAATGCATATTCAATAGGAGCAGTGGCGACCTGTCATTTAGGGCAGGTGGGGCAGAGCCACCTGTTTTGAGCCCCACATTTTAAGGAAAAATACAAGTTTATTTAAAAAAAATTTGGGGGGGCTTGCCTGTTTTGCATGTTATTTTGGCATTAATATGTGTCATATCAGTTTGCAAACAATGTAAAAAAAAAATCATTGAGTTAATAAAGCCGCATACAAACATGGTCTCTTTTTTGCTTTCTTGAGTAAGGCAGCTCCAAAATGCAGGTGTTTCAGCCTAGCTCAGTGCTTTCTTTGGTGGTGGGGCAGACAGCGGAAAATACGGAGCGTAGGTGTTGGTAATGTTCTCTAGTTGCGCCGTGATTAGCTCAGTGTTGTGTCAGTATGTCACCATGAAGTCTAAGGGTAGAGCTAGAAAATTCAAGCCCCTTGGGTGCTGCCATAGAGTTACATTAGAAGTGCCCATCCAAGAAGGCTCAAGGTCATTGGCCACAGATAAAATGACGTTAAATCACGTTATATCTACAGTACCTTTGATTGGACTGATCATGCCAACATCATACTTTCAAAATCTTAGCCAGCAGTCATCATCATGAATCAAGTCGACAATCTACTGGCAAATCCTTTTTAATCCTTGTCATATGAAGATAAATAATGAAGAGAAATGATAGATAAAACGTATCAGTGCTCATTGGACATAAACATTACACAACAAGTTGGAAATTGCAAATTCAACAATGAGTGGTTTGGAAGGAATCAGTGGCTAACTGCAAGCATTGCAAAGCAATCATTAGCCTGCTATTCAGTGGAGTGGCTGTTTGTCCCAAATCTGGGATTAAGGGTCTCTGTTCCAAATTTAAAATGATAAACATGAAACATTGGCCATGCTTTCAATGAAGCATGATTTGTTCAAAACAACTGTTAACTCGGAACTGCGAAGTCTTGAAGTCAAGTTAACTGGGAACTCTGGGGAAAAAACGAGCTCAGACTGGGAAAATACGTTTTGAACGGTCATCCAACTCAGAATTGTAAATCCGGAACTCAGCCTCTTTCTAGAGCTACGACCTGAAGATCAATTACGTCATCATGATTCAACCTTGTTTTTTCCGAGTTCCCAGTTGTCTTGAAAGCACCATAAATCCAGAGAATGCCAGACTTTGATGACAAAATTTGCCCACGAAGGACCGCCGCACCACCTTCCTGTTCAAGTGAGCACAACACAACAAGGTGAGTCCAAAAATGTATTGTATGCTGCGGCATAAATGATGTAATATGCCAGGGAGATATGTAGGCTATACTGTAGCTAAGAAAGTAATACTAAGTGTACAGTTGAAGTCGGAAGTTTACATACACTTAGGTTGGAGTAATTAAACTTGTTTTTCAACCACTCCACACATTTCTTGTTAACAAACTATAGTCGGACATCTACTTTGTGCATGACACAAGTAATTTTTCCAACAATTGTTTACAGACAGATTATTTCACTTATAATTCACTGTATCACAATTCCAGTGGGTCAGAAGTTTACATACACTAAGTTGACTGTGCCTTTAAAAAGCCTGGAAAATTCCAGAAAATTATGTCATGGCTTTAGAAGCTTCTGATAGGCAAATTGACATCATTTGAGTCAATTGGAGGTGTACCTGTGGATTTATTTCAAGGCCTACCTTCAAACTCAGTGCCTCTTTGCTTGACATCATGGGAAAATCAAAATAAATCAGCCAAGACCTCAGAAAAAGAATTGTAGACCTCCACAAGTCTGGTTTATCCTTGGGAGCAATTTCCAAACGCCTGAAGGTACCAAGTTCATCTGTACAAACAATAGTACGGAAGTATAAACACCATGGGACCACGCAGCCGTCACACCGCTCAGGAAGGGGACGCGTTCTGCATCCTAGAGATGAACGTACTTTGGTGCGAAAAGTGCAAATCAATCCCAGAACAACAGCAAAGGACCTTGTGAAGATGCTGGAGGAAACAGGTACAAAAGTATCTATATCCACAGTAAAACGAGTCCTATATCGACATAACCTGAAAGGCCGCTCAGCAAGGAAGTAGCCACTGCTCCAAAACTGCCATAAAAAAGCCATACTACGGTTTGCAACTGCACATGGGGACAAAGATCGTACTTTTTGGAGAAATGTCCTCTGGTCTGATGAAACAAAAATAGAACTGTTTGGCCATAATGACCGTCGTTATGTTTGGAGGAAAAAGGGGTGGCTTGCAAGCCGACGAACACCATCCCAACCGTGAAGCACAGGGGTGGCAGCATCATGCTGTGAGGGTGCTTTGCTGCAGGAGGGACTGGTGCACTTCACAACATAGATGGCATCATGTGGAAGGAAAATTATTTGGATATATTGAAGCAACATCTCAAGACATCAGTCAGGAAGTTAAAGCTTGGTTGCAAATGGGTCTTCCAAATGGACAATGACCCCAAGCATACTTCCAAAGTTGTGGCAAAATGGCTTAAGGACAACAAAGTCAAGGTATTGGAGTGGCCATCACAAAGCCCTGACCTCAATCCTATAGAACATTTGTGGGCAGAACTGAAAAAGCATGTGCGAGCAAGGAGGCCTACAAACCTGACTCAGTTTCACCAGCTCTGTCAGGAGGAATGGGCCAAAATTCACCCAATTTATTGTGGGAAGCTTGTGGAAGGCTACCCGAAATGTTTGACCCAAGTTAAACAATTTAAAGGAAATGCTACCAAATACTAATTGAGTGTATGTAAACTTCTGACCCACTGGGAATGTGATGAAAGAAATAAAAGCTGAAAGAAATAATTCTCTCTACTATTATTCTGACATTTCACATTCTTAAAATAAAGAGGTGATCCCAACTGACCCAAGACAGGGAATTTTTACTAGGATTAAATGTCAGGAATTGTGAAAAACTGAGTTTAAATGTATTTGGCTAAGGTGTATGTAAACTTCCGACTTCAACTGTATGTTGTGTAGTAAGCTGTTAGTAGCCCATGTGCCTCACCCTAATAATTTGGTCTATTTTCTCCTCTTAATTTCGCCTACTGTTCTGACTTGGTGGTGCACATGTAGCCTATAACCTGTTTTAGATATATGTAATCATCAAATATTGTAAGCGCTTTCATTGTCTGCTTATACAGTGGGGAGAACAAGTATTTGATACACTGCCGATTTTGCAGGTTTTCCTACTTACAAAGCATGTAGAGGTCTGTAATATTTTATCATAGGTACACTTCAACTGTGAGAGACGGAATCTAAAACAAAAATCCAGAAAATCACATTGTATGATTTTTAAGTAATTCATTTGCATTTTATTGCATGACATAAGTATTTGATACATCAGAAAAGCAGAACTTAATATTTGGTACAGAAACCTTTGTTTGCAATTACAGAGATCATATGTTTCCTGTAGGATTTGACCAGGTTTGCACACACTGCAGCAGGGATTTTGGCCCACTCCTCCATACAGACCTTCTCCAGATCCTTCAGGTTTCGGGGCTGTCGTTGTGCAATACAGACTTTCAGCTCCCTCCAAAGATTTTCTATTGGGTTCAGGTCTGGAGACTGGCTAGGCCACTCCAGGACCTTGAGATGCTTCTTACGGAGCCACTCCTTAGTTGCCCTGGCTGTGTGTTTCGGGTTGTTGTCATGCTTGAAGACTCAGCCACGACCCATCTTCAATGCTCTTACTGAGGGAAGGAGGTTGTTGGCCAAGATCTCGCGATACATGGCCCCATCCATCCTCCCCTCAATACGGTGCAGTCGTCCTGTCCCCTTTGCAGAAAAGCATCCCCAAATAATGATGTTTCCACCTCCATGCATCATGGTTGGGATGATATTCTTGGGGTTGTACTCATCCTTCTTCTTCCTCCAAACACGGCGAGTGGTTTAGACCAAAAAGCTCTATTTTTGTCTCATCAGACCACATGACCTTCTCCCATTCCTCCTCTGGATCATCCAGATGGTCATTGGCAAACTTCAGACGGGCCTGGACATGCGCTGGCTTGAGCAGGGGGACCTTGCGTGCGCTGCAGGATTTTAATCCATGACGGCGTAGTGCGTTACTAATGGTTTTCTTTGAGACTGTGGTCCCAGCTCTCTTCAGGTCATTGACCAGGTCCTGCCGTGTAGTTCTGGGCTGATCACTCACCTTCCTCATGATCATTGATGCCCCACGAGGTGAGATCTTGCATGGAGCCCCAGACCGAGGGTGATTGACCGTCATCTTGAACTTCTTCCATTTTCTAATAATTGCGCCAACAGTTGTTGCCTTCTCACCAAGCTGCTTGCCTATTGTCCTGTAGCCCATCCCAGCCTTCTGCAGGTCTACAATTTTATCCCTGATGTCCTTACACAGCTCTCTGGTCTTGGCCATTGTGGAGAGGTTGGAGTCTGTTTGATTGAGTGTGTGGACAGGTGTCTTTTATACAGGTAATGAGTTCAAACAGGTGCAGTTTAATGAGTGGAGAACAGGAGGGCTCCTTAAAGAAAAACTAACAGGTCTGTGAGAGCCGGAATTCTTACTGGTTGGTAGGTGATCAAATACTTATGTCATGCAATAACATGCAAATGAATTACTTAAAAATCATACAATGTGATTTTCTGGATTTTTTGTTTTTGTTTTAGATTCCGTCTCTTCAGTTGAAGTGTACCTATGATTAAAATTACAGACCTCTACATGCTTTATAAGTAGGAAAACCTGCAAAATCGGCAGTGTATCAAATACTTGTTCTCCCCACTGTATGTCCCCTTTATTTATCCTACGGTTCTGACTTGGTGTACAGGGAGAGCGCTGTAAGAACGGCCCATATTCTGAATTCTGTCGCTGTACATTTCAAAAGTGCTAAACAAATAGTTATATTGACTACGTCTGTCCTAGCTCGCTCATTAATGTCTTAATTGAAATTACGGATTGCTTCTTATCCGCTTGTCGTCCCCTTATGCCATAGTTTGTACATCTCAATTGTCATTCGAAACCACATTTGTTTAAGCAAGTCAGCCATATCTGCTATGTTTTTTTAAAAGGCAGTAAATGAGGCTGAATGAACTGTTTTGCTGCCAGACAAGGCTCCGCTGATAGCCAGGTGTAGCAGTGGTAAGATGTTGGGATTCTGCTGTTGGGACAGCTTTATTTAGGCCCTAACAGTTTGTGGGCACCGTTTGTCACCGTTATAGTGCAATTCATGCATTGTTTAGTGTTGTCTTTGCTGGCATGCATCCCATGTTTTTGTTTGCCCCACAAAGATTTACATGCAGAAATTGCTACTGAAGAATAGTATGTGCATGCATTGACTTACTGCGCTTGTTTTGGCTGATCAGTGGAGTCTATGGTGCTACAGATTTGGGATTTATAGCCTACTGATCCACAACATTTGCAAAGAAGAAATCACTCCAGCATGTATGGAAGGACATCATATAGGCACTGCTGTTAGTTTGAGAATATAAAATAATAACAATTCATTGCAAATGGGTCCAACGTAACATCAAGATTTGTGAGCATGGATGCTTATGAAACAAGTATTATTTTTATTCTTCATTTTCCGTGATCGGGAAAAGGTATTTTTTCAGCTGTCAGGACGCATCTCTAAACAACTCAGCTGCCAGGACGAAATTCGAAACAACTCAATTGGCTAGTAACTTGATCCTACTGCTATGATTTTTCATACGGGGGGGGCCAGTATGAAAAATGTATGCACTCACTAATTGTAAATCGCTCTGGATAAGAGCGTCTGCTAAATTACTAAAATGTCTATTGGATCACTAAAAAAAATAAAGCGAGGCTGTAACTCTGCTCCCTTTCACATCTCCTCATCGCTCACATCACTTGGTGCGGTTTACTGCTACTATGAGAACTAGCTCAATGGCGATGACATTTGCTACCAAGCCGTAAATGTGCATAATATCTAACAAGGAGAGCGAGGGTAGGAAAAAAAGATGAAACGACGATGCACGTTCTGCCTGAATGACTCATATCTGCTCATAGATTTAGAATTTAGAATGCGCACACGCGGATCTACAGCTTTCTTGGTTCATAAACATGCAGGAAGATTATTTGGTAGCTAAACCAATTGCCAACTCCTTTCTTTCCCTATTACGACAATCCATCTAATCTGACTACCAACTGTCAATTTACGGATATCATTGTGGCTGGTCAGGTCAGCACACCACTAAATAGCTAACTTTACACCACAAGTCAGATGGCTCCTTGCCGAAAATGGTTAATGTTCAAAATGATAACCAGCTACCGTTAGCTAGCTATGTTGGCTATTAGCTCCTATCTGATATCTTAGTACCATATTTATCTAACCAGCTAGCTAATACCACAGATGAAAGGGTTAGTTATCGTAATCTTTGCTAACAGGTCACATACAGTGCCTTGCAAAAGTATTCATCCCCCTTGGTGTTTTTCCTATTTTGTTGCATTACAACCTGTAATTTAAATTGATTTTTATTTGGATTTCATGTAATGGGCATACACAAAATAGTCCAAATAGGTCAAGTGGTATTGTTTAAAAAAAAATAATAACAGAAAAGTGATGCGTGCATATTTATTCACCCCCTTTGCTATGAAGCCCCTAAATTAAGATCTGGTGCAACCAATTACCTTCAGAAGTCACATAATTAGTTAAATAAAGTCCACCTGTGTGCAATCTAAGTGTCACATGATCTGTCACATGATCTCAGTATATATACACCTGTTCTGAAAGGCCCCAGAGTCTGCAACACCACTAAGCAAGGGCCACCACTAAGCAAGCAGCACCATGAAGACCGAGGAGCTCTCCAAACAGGTCAAGGACAAAGTTGTGGAGAAGTACAGATCAGGGTTGGGTTGTAAAAAAATATCTGAAACTTTGAGCATCCCACGGAGCACCATTAAATCCATTCTTAAAAAATTTAAAGAATATGGCACCACAACAAACCTGCAAAGAGATGGACACCCACCAAAACTCACGGACCAGGCAAGGAGGGCATTAATCAGAGAGGCAACAAAGACACCAAAGATAACTCTGAAGGAGCTGCAAAGCTCCACAGCGGAGATTGGAGTATCTGTCCATAGGACCACTTTAAGCCGTATACTCCAGAGCTGGGCTTTACGGAAGAGTGGCCAGAAAAAAGCCATTGCTTAAAGAAAAAAATAAACAAACACGTTTGGTGTTTGCCAAAAGGCATGTGGGAGACTCACCAAACATATGGAAGAAGGTACTCAAGGAAAACGCTATGTCGGGCGCAAACCCAACACCTCTCATCACCCCGAGAACACCATCCCCACAGTGAAACATGGTGGTGGCAGCATCATGCTGTGGGGATGTTTTTCATCGGCAGGGACTGGGAAACTGGTCAGAATTGAAGGAATGATGGATGGCGCTAAATACAGGGGAATTCTTGAGGGAAACCTGTTTCAGTCTTCCAGAGATTTGAGGCTGGGACGGAGGTTCACCTTCCAGCAGGACAATGACCCTAAGCATACTGCTAAAGCAACACTCGAGTGGTTTAAGGGGAAACATTTACATTTCTTGGAATGGCCTAGTCAAAGTCCAGACCTCAATCCAATTGAAAATCTGTGGTATGACTTAAAGATTGCTGTACACCAGCGGAACCCATCCAACTTGAAGGAGCTGGAGCAGTTTTTCCTTGAAGAATGGGCAAAAATCCCAGTGGCTAGATGTGCCAAGCTTATAGAGACATACCCCAAGAGACTTGCAGCTAATTGCTGCAAAAGGTGGCTCTACAAAGTGGGGTAGGGGGGGGGGGATGAATAGTTATGCACGCTCAAGTTCTGTTTTTTTGTTGTATTATTTCTTGTTTGTTTCACATTAACAAATATTTTGCATCTTCAAAGTGGTAGGCATGTTGTGTAAATTAAATTATACAAACCCACCCAAAATCAATTTTTAATTCCAGGTTGTAAGGCAACAAAATAAGAAAAATGCCAAGGGGGGTGAATACTTTCGCAAGCCACTGTAGCTATCTGCTTAGCTAGCTTGTTTATTGCTTGCATGTCCGGGCACGTTGACACAAGCCTTATTAGTGAATTAACTGAAATAATATTTGCAACTGGAGTTTGATTTTGGTCACTGTGTGAATTCATCAATTTCTCAATACTGCACCTTTGTGTTGGAGAATGAGCTAGCCTCCTCCCGCTGCTGATTTTCCCAGCTAGACATTCCCTGGCATTGTGCAGTGCTCGTGGCTCAGGCGGTGAGTGGCGGCTGGCATAGCAGCAGCTTTGCAATGTAGAGTGACTATCAGCAAAGCCTTAGAGAAGGACCAATAGACTAGAAAAAGCCAATATTGACCCGATATATCGGCTCAGCAGATTATCGGTGGTTCTCTACTAATAACCCAACCTCGGTCTCCTTTGTGTAAGGTTCAAGCTCTTGATTTGTTCTACAAGAATTCAATGGAAGATACGATGTTGGAGAGTTTACTTTGCCCCTATATAAAACAATTCCATATTTATTGATCATCACTGCATTTACAAGTCGTGGACTTTGGAATTGTTGACGGAGTGGGCTTTAAAAGAATATGGTTTTGATTATGAAATCGATATCGCCATATAGACTTACTTTACATTCATGATACGTGAATACTCAGATAAGACTTCCATGTTTTTATAACACATGCAATGTTTTATAACCTTTTATAACAGGGTGATAACCTTGCTTTACAGATCACATCAGTGTAACCTCAAGGAAGGGATGCATTTTATGAGTATTCAAACAGAGCCCCTGACTTCACCACCCAATCAAATCTGTGCTTATGCTGACTGTTCCATTCCTGTATGTCTCCATAGTAACGCTGTATGGGGTGTTCACCAACCACAGCCATGTGGGCGTGGCCACACGCTGCCTGCTGCTGGAGCTGCTGGATGTCAGTGTGTCTGAGCTGCTGGTTAGGGCCAGTACCCAGGGCCAGGCGGGCAGCCCCCAGAGTGGTGGTGCCCAGCAGCAGGGCCACTCCATGTGGCTGGTGCAGCACTGTGCCAGAGACATCCTGGAGGCCCTGGCCTTCCTCCACCGAGAGGGCTACGTCCATGCAGACCTCAAGCCCCGCAATGTGCTCTGGAGTGCAGACGACGAGTGCTTCAAACTCATCGACTTTGGACTCAGCTTCAAGGAGGGTAACCAGGTGAAGTGGACTCGAGAACAGGGGTTTGTGTGGGCTACATACCTCTGAGGGAGGGTTTTCAAGTTGGTTTTAGCATCTTTGTACGTTGATCAGTTATGCATAAAATTAGGTGACATACAACAGGAAAACAATTATATGGACCAGGTTAAACTTTGGTGTGTGTGGTTTTCGGCCTGTATAATAGTGTCCGTTCTCGCCGTGTGTGTTCCAAGGACGTGAAGTACATCCAGACGGATGGGTACCGTGCCCCGGAGGCTGAGCGTCAGAACTCGCTGTCCCAGGCGGGGCTGGAGGTGGAGGGCAACTCTTGCTGCTCGGCCGCTGTGGACCTCTGGAGCCTGGGTATCATCCTGCTGGAGATGTACTCAGGCATCAAACTCAAAGACACTGTCAGGTCACCCGAGTGGAAGGTACGTCCACAGCACTGCTCTCCGACTCCGGGCCTGTATTGCCACTATACTGAGTGTGCAGGCTTTTGTTCCAAACCAGCACAAACACACCTTTTTAAAAGACTGTTCTTTACCACATTATTGTCATATACACCCATCCCCTGTGATTACATAGCCAGACATACAGTGTACTGTGTTCCATAGGACTGTTGCTAATGGATACATGGGTACTTGTTTTCCTAGGAATGCAGTGGACTCTGATCCACCTGTAGCTTAATAGATCAATATGTTCTTCACATACAGTGCATTCATAAAGTACTCAGACCCCTTCACTTTTTCCACATTGTTACATTACAGCCTTATTCTAAAATGGATTAAATTGTTTTTTCCCCTCATCAATCTACACACAGTACCCCATAATGACAAAGCAAAAACTGGTTTTTAGAAATTCTTGCAAATGTATTAAAAATAAAACGGAAATATTACATTTACATAAGTATTCAGACCCTTTACTCAGTACTTTGTTGAAGCACCTTTGGCAGCGATTACAGCCTCGAGTCTTCTTGGGTATGACACTACAAGCTTGGCGCACCTGTATTTGGGGAGTTTCGCCCATTTTTCTCTGCAGATCTCTCAAGCTCTGTCAGGTTGGATGGGGAGCGTCGCTGCGCAGCTATTTTCAGGTCTCTCCAGAGATGTTCAATCGGGTTCAAGTCCGGGCTCTGGCTGGGCCACTCAAGAACATTGAGACTTGTCCCGAAGCCACTCCTGCATTGTCTTGGCTTTGTGCTTAGAGTCGTTGTCCTGTTGGAAGGTGAACCGCCCCAGTCTGAGGCCTGAGCGCTCTGGAGCAGGTTTTCATCAGGGATCTCTCTGTACTTTGCTTCGTTCATCTTTCTCTCGATCCTGACTAGTCTTCCAGTCCCTGCCCCTGAAAAACATCCCCACAGCATGATGCTGCTACCACCATGCTTCACCGTAAGGATGGTATTGGCCAGGTGATGAGCGATGCCTGGTTTCCTCCTGTGACGCTTGGCATTCAGACCAAAGAGTTCAATCTTGGTTTCATCAGACCAGAGAATCTTGTTTCTCATGGTCTGAGAGTCCTTTAGGTGCCTTTTGGCAAACTCCAAGCGGGCTGTCATGTGCCTTTTACTGAGGAGTGGCTTCCGTCTGACCACTCTACCACAAAAGCCTAATTGTTGTCCTTCTGCAAAGTTCTCCCATTTCCACAGAGGAACTCTGGAGCTCTGTCAGTGACCATCGGGTTCTTGGTCACCTTCCTGACCAAGGCCCTTCTCCCCCGATTGCTCAGTTTGGCCAGGCGGCCAGCTCTAGGAAAAGTGCTGGTGGTTCCAAACTTCTTCCACTTAAGAATGATGGAGGCCACTGTGTTTTTGGGGACATTCAATGCTGCAGACATTTCTTGGTACCCTTCTCCAGATCTGTACCTCGACATAATCCTGTCTCGGAGCTCTATGGACAATACCTTCGACCTCATGGCTCGGTTTTGTGGGGTCTTTATATAGACAGGTGTGAGTCTTTCTAAATCATGTCCACTCAATTGAATTTACCACCGGTGGACTCAGTTGTAGAAACATCCAAGGATGATAAATGGAACAGGATACACCTGAGCTCAATTTCGAGTCTCATAGCAAAGGGTCTCAATACTTATGTAAATGTCATATTTCTGTTTTTTATTTTTAATACATTTGCAAAAATTTATAAAAACCTGTTTTTGCTTTGTCATTATGAGGTATTGTGTGTAGATTGACAAGGAATTTTTATTTATTTAATCCATTTTAGAATAAGGCTGTAACATAACAAAATGTGGAAAAAGTGAAGGTCTGAATACTTTCCGAATGCTATAAATAGATAAATAAGACATTTAGGTAATAGACATTTTATTAGACAGATATGGGTGTGTTGTCCAACCTGCTGTTCTGTAGCCTACTGTTCTTTTGCTCTTGCAGGACAACAGTGCAGCAATAGTCGACCATATCTTTGCCAGTAACAGTGTGGTGTGTCCTGCTATCCCTGTCTATCACCTCAGAGACCTGATCAAGAGGTAACAACATTCATTCATTCATTCATCCATATGCATTTTGTTTTTATTGTTTTAGTTTGTACATAAATGCAGACATTTGATCCGTTGTACCAAATTGACTCTACACTCCCTTAAACATAACTCGTCATTTTCTACATTGTAAACTTGAGAGAGGGGTTCCTAACGTTGACATTCATTTTTGTAATGTTTGTATGCACCTGCAGCATGCTTCACAACGACCCCAAGCACAGAGGCACAGCCGAGACGGCCCTGCTTAGCCCTTTCTTCAGCATTCCCTTTGGTAATCAGAAACACCAATGCAAAGTCCACAGCAGATATGGGCACATCCGGTGGTGTCATAAGTATTCACCCCTCTTGGATTTTTTCATGTTTTGTTGCGTTACAAACTGGAATTGAAATGGATTTAATTGTGATTTTTTTTTTTGTCATTGCTCTACACAAAATACTCCATAATGTCAAAGTGAAAAGAAAATTCTACAAATGAATACAAATTTAATAACAAAAATATAGTCGTTGCATAAGTATTCACCCCCTTTCTTTAGGCAAGCGTAAATTAGTTCAGTAGTAAAATTTGGCTTAACAAATCACATAAGTTTACATAAGTGAAATAATAGGGGTTGACATCATTTTTGAATGACTATCCCTTCCTCTGTCCCCCATACATACAACATCTGTAAGGTCCCTCAGTCAAGTATTGAATTTCAAGCACAGATTCAACAACAAAGACCAGGGAGTCTTTCGAAAGTCTCATAAAGAAGGGAAGTGATTGGTAGATGTGTAACAATAATAGATCAGACATTGAATATCTCTTTAAGCATGGTCAAGTTAATAATTATGCTGTTGAGGATGTATTAAACCACCCAGGCACATCAAAGATACAGTCATCCTTCTGAACTTAGCTGCAGGACATTAAGGAAACTGCTTAGGGATGTCACCATGAGTTGATTTTAAAACAGTTACTGAGTTCAATGGCAGTGATGGGAGAAAACTGAGGTTGGATCAACAACATTGTAGTGACTCCACAATAATGACCTCAATGATAGAGCGAAAAGAATACAAATATACAGAATTAAAATAAAATAAACGTGCACCTGTATACAACCAGGCACTAAAGTAATACTGTAAAAAAAAAAACACAAAAACAACACGACAAAGGAAAACACTTTTTGGCTTAAATGCAAAGCTGTATGATTGGGGCAAATACAACACATCACTGAGTAACTGCCTCCTTATCTTCAAGAATGGTGGTGGCTGCATCATGGTATGGGTATGCTTGACATTGGCAAAGACTGGGGAGACTTTCAGGATAAAAAGAAATGGGATGGAGCTAAGCTCAGGCAAAATCCTAGAGGGAAACCTGCTTCAGTCTGCATTCACCAGACACTGGGAGAGGAATTCACCTTTCAGCAGGACAATAACCTACAGTACCAGTCAAAAGTTTGGACACACCTACTCATTCAAGGGTTTCTTTATTTTTACTATTTTCTACATTGTAGAATAATAGTGAAGACATAAAAATTATGAAATAACACATATGGAATCATGTAGTAACCAAAAAAGTGTTAAATAAATCAAAATATATTTTATATTCTTCAAAGTAGCCACCCTTTGCCTTTGACAGCTTTGCACACTCTTGGCATTCTCTCAACCAGCTTCATGAGGAATGCTTTTCCAACAGTCTTGAAGGAGTTCCCACATATGCTGAGCACTTGTTGGCTGCTTTTCCTTCACTCTGTGGTTCAACTCATCCCAAACCATCTCAGTAGGGTTGAGGTCGTGTGATTGTGGAGACCAGGTCATCTGATGCAGCAGTCCATCACTCTCCTTCTTGGTCAAATAGCCCTTACACAGCCTGGAGGTGTGTTTTGGGTCATTGTCCTGTTGAAAAACAAATGATAGTCCCACTAAGCGCAAACCAGATGGGATGGCGTATCGCTGCAGAATGCTGTGGTAGCCATGCTGGTTAAGTGTGCCTTGAGTTCTAAATAAATCACTGACAGTGTCACCAGCAAAGCACCCCCACACCCTCACACCACCTCCTCCATGCTTCATGGTGGGAACCACACATGCAGAGATCATCCGTTCACCTACTCTGCATCTCACAAAGACATGGCAGTTGGAACCAAAAATCTTAAATTTGGACTCATCAGACCAAAGGACAGATTTCCATGGTCTAATGTCCATTGCTCGTGTTTCTTGGCCCAAGCAAGTCTCTTCTTCTTATTGGTGTCCTTTAGTAGTGGTTTCTTTGCAGCAATTCGACCATGAAGGCCTGATTCACGCAGTCTCCTCTGAATAGTTGATGTTGAGATGTGTCTGTTATTTTAACTCTGTGAAGCATTTATTTGGGCTGCAATCTGAGGTGCAGTTAACTCTAATGAACTCTGCAGCAGAGGTAACTCTGGGTCTTTCTTTCCTGTGGCGGTCCTCATGAGAGCCAGTTTCATCATAGCGCTTGATGGGTTTTGCGACTGCACTTGAAGAAACTTTCAAAGTTCTTGAAATTGTCCGGATTGACTGACCTTTATGTCTTAAAGTAATGATGGACTGTCGTTTCTCTTTGCTTATTTGAGCTGTTCTTGCCATAATAAGGACTTGGTCTTTTACCAAATAGGGCTATCTTCTGTATACCACCCCTACCTTGTCACAACACAACTGATTGGCTCAAACGCATTAAGAAGGAAAGAAATTCCACAAATTAACTTTTAACAAGGTACACCTGTTAATTGAAATGCATTCCAGGTGACTACCTCATGAAGCTGGTTGAGAGAATGCCAAGAATGTGCAAAGCTGTCATCAAGGCAAAGGGTGGTTACTTTGAAGAAAAGTTTAACACTTTTTTGGTTACTACATGATTTCATATGTCTTATTTGATAGTTTTGATGTCTCCACTATTATTCTACGATGTAGAAAATAGTAAAAATAAAGAAAAACCCTTGAGTGAGTAGGTGTGTCCAAACTTTTGACTGGTACTGTACAACATAAGGCCAAATCAACACTGAAGTTTCCTAAGTGGCCAAGTTAGTTTTGACTTAAGTCTGCTTGAAAATCTATGGCAAGACTTGAACATTGCTGTCTAGCCATGATCCCCAAAACCTTGACAGAGCTTGAAGAATTTTTACCCAAGAAGATTCACAGCTGTAATCTCTGCCACCAAAGGTGTTTCTAACATTTATTAACTCAAGGCGGTGAATACTTATCTAATCAAGGTATGTTAGTGTTTTATTTTTCATAAAAATAAAAACATTTTTCCTCCACTTTGACATGTATTAGTATTTTGTGTGGATCGTTGACAAAAAATTACAAATCAATTTTAATCCCACTTTGTAACACAATAAAATCTGAAGAAATCGAAGGGGAGTGGATACTTATGATAGGCACTGTACCTCATTCTCATCCAGCTCATATGAAAGCTTGCATTACAGCATAATCTTACCATCTATCACTGCACCTGCCCACCAACACACTCTTTCGCTCGATTTGTAATCTACCTCTATGATATGCATATTGATTTTTCACTGAAAACAAAAAAGAATATATTCATAATAGAGAGGTTGGGTGGTGCTGTATAAACCATATAAAAGGCTTCTTAAACCTATTGATTGAAGAAAAGGGTGTGTGTGTGTGTCAGCTCCTCACATAGAAGACTTGGTTCTGCTGCCCTCTCCTGTTCTGCGCCTGCTCAACCTGATTGATGACAGCCACCTACACAATGAGGAGGAGTATGAAGGTAAGGCACAGCCTTTTCGAACCAACTTTTTGGAACCACTGACGATAAATGTAAGAACAAATAGCTCCTACAGTTGGTCTTTATGAAGATCAGCGTTGGAAATACACTGGGGCTTGTGGCACCACAAGTCAGTGCCACAAGTCATCGGTGAACTAAACAATATGATGAAGCTATATATAGACTCAGTGATATGACGTTGCCACGAGCAGCAGGATTAACCGTAGATATTACAGATGAGCGCAATGCAAGACTATGCACATATCTGTACATGTGGTGTCCGTGGGACCAAAACAGCTGAGAAGTTTATCCACGCTTTGCGCTCTTAGTTGTTGCGGAAGTCTGCACAATTCTGCTGTCCACTTCATGCTTCGTTGACTCTGCACTGCAATATTCTGGTAATTAAGAAATGTTTCTAATTACCCAGAGTCAGGTTAACTCGTGGATAAAATGTTTGTCTCTGCATGCAGTATGAAGGAAGTTAAGAGGTAGTTCTGAGAGTGTACCGGTAGACATCCAGTCAGCTAATACTAGTTAGCATTGGCTCGCGAAACTACACTGCCTACAGAAAGTATTCATATTCATACCCCCTTGACTTATTCCACATTTTGTTGTGTTACAGCCTGAATTCAAAATGGATTAAATTGATTTTGTTTTCTGTCACCCATCTACACACAATTCCTCATAATGACAAAGTGAAAACATGTTTTTAGAAATGTTAGCTAATTTATTGAAAATGAAATACAGAAATATCTCATTTACATAAGTATTCACACCCCCTGAGTCAATACATGTTAGAATAACCTTTGGTAGCGATTACAGCTGTAAGTCTCTAAGAGCTTTGCACACCTGGATTGGACAATATTTGCACATTATTATTTTTAAAATTCTACAAGCTCTGTCAAGTTGGTTGTTGATCATTGCTAGACAGCCATTTTCAAGTTTTGCCATAGACCTTCAAGCTGATTTACGTCCAAACTGTAATTAGGCCACTCAGGAATATTCAAGGTCGTCTTGGTAAGCAACTCCAGTGTATATTTGGCCTTGTGTTTTAGGTTATTGTCCTGCTGAAAGGTGAATTTGTCTCCTAGGGTCTGTTAGAAAGCAGACTGAATCCTTTAGGATTCTGCCTGTGCTTAACTCTATTCAGTTTCTTTTTATCCTAAAAAACTCCCTTGCCAATGACAAGCATACCCATAACATGATGCAGCACCACCATGCTTGAAAATATGAAGAATGGTACTCTGTGATGTGTTATGTTGGATTTGCCGCAAACATAACATAATGCTTTGTATTCAGGACATAAAGTTAATTTCTTTGCCATTTTTTTTTTTCAGCTTCACTTTAGTGCCTTATTGCAAACAGGAAGCATGTTTTGGAATATTTGTATTCTGGACAGGCTTCCTTCTTTTCACTCTGTCATTTAGGTTAGTGTTGTGGAGTAACTACAATGTTGTTGATCCATCCTCAGTTTTCTCCTATTACAGCCATTAAACTCTGTAACTGTTTTAAAGTGTCCATTGGCCTCATGGTGAAATCCCTGAGCGGTTTGCTTAATGTCCTGCAGCTAAGTTGTGGGTTCGATTCCCACGGGGGGCCAGTATAAAATAATAATGTATGCACTCACTAACTGTAAGTCGCTCTGGATAAGAGCGTCTGCTAAATGACTAAAAATGTAAATGTAAAAATAACTTCACCATGCTCAAAGGGATATTCAATGTCTGCTTTTTTTTATTTTGACCCATCTACTGTTATGATGAGTTTCTCAGGTATCAAGGATGCAAGGATATACTTAGACATTCTGTGGAGATTTCATACAAAGTATTTATTGAATCACGAGCTCGTGGGTTCATCTAACAAACGGACATGGCTTTGCCCTTCGTCAGTTGAACTAACTTAACAAAGGAGACACTCTATCTTATATAGCCTTTATTACTATCTTCCTGGCATACATCTGGCAAGTCTCCATGGGCACTCCCTGCCTTTGATGTTCATCACTCTTTACCCCAAGTCACTATCCTAAACATCACTCATGCTATCCTAAACATCACTAATCTACCTTGACATAATGGAATGTAGACTTCATGGCCCCAAACCACTCATCTCTTAACTCTTTCCCTGTCCTCACAATACTATGGCATGACATCATTATACCATAAAAACATAATATAATCTACCAATAGGTGCCTTTCTTTGAGAACCATTGGAAAACCTCCCTGGTCTTTGTGGTTGAATCTATTTGAAATTCACTGCTCGACTGAGGGACCTTAAAGATAATTGTATGTGTGGGGTACAGAGACGGGGTAGTCATTCAAAAATGATGTTAAACACTTCGATTGCACACAGTGAGTCCATTAACCTTATTATGTGACTTGTTAAGCACATCTTTACTTCTGAACTTATTTAGGCTTGCCGTAACAAAGGGGTTGAATACTTTATGACTCGACATTTCAGCTTTTCATTTTTAATGACTTTGTAAAAATGTCTAACAATATAATTCCACATGGGGTATTATGTGTACAGTCGTGGTCAAAGGTTTTGAGAATGACACAAGTATTGGTCTTCACAAAGTTTGCTGCTTCAGTGTTTTGAGATATTTTTGTCAGATGTTACTATGGTATACTGAAGTATAATTACAAGCGTTCCATAAGTGTCAAAGGCTTTTATTGACAATTACATTAAGTTTATGCAAAGAGTCAATATTTGCAGTGTTGACCCTTCTTTTTCAAGACATCTGCAATCCGCCCCGGCATGCTGTCAATTAACTTCTGGGCCTCATCCTGACTGATGGCAGCCCATTTTTGCATAATCAATGCTTGAAGTTTGTCAGAATTTGTGGGTTTTTCTTTGTCCACACGCCTCTTGAGGATTGACCACAAGTTCTCAATGGGATTAAGGTCTGGGGAGTTTCCTGGCCATGGACCCAAAATGTCGATGTTTTGTTCCCCGAACCACTTAGTTATCACTTTTGCCTTATGGCAAGGTGCTCCATCATCCTGGAAAAGGCATTGTTCGTCACCAAACTGTTCTTGGATGGTTGGGAGAAGTTTCTTTTTGAGGATATGTTGGGACCATTCTTTATTCATGGCTATGTTCTTAGGCAAAATTGTGAGCGAGCCCACTCCCTTGGCTGAGAAGCAACCCCACACATGAATGGTCTCAGGGTGCTTTACTGTTGGCATGACACAGGACTGATGGTAGCGCTCACCTTGTCTTCGCCGGACAAGCTTTTGTCCGGATGCCTGAAACAATCGGAAAGGGGATTCATCAGAGAAAATGACTTTACCCCAGTCCTCAGCAGTCCAATCCCTGTACCTTTTGCCGAATATCAGTCTGTCCCTGATGTTTTTCCTGGAGAGAAGTGGCTTCCTCGCTGCCCTTCTTGACACCAGACCATCCTCCAAAAGACTTTGCCTCACTGTGCGTGCAGATGCACTCACACCTGCCTGCAGCCATTCCTGAGCAAGCTCTGCACTGGTGGTGCCCCGATCCCGCAGCTGAATCAACTTTAGGAGACGGTCCTGGCGCTTGCTGGACTTTCTTGGGCGCCCTGAAGCCTTCTTCACAACAATTGAACCTCTCTCCTTGAAGTTCTTGATGATCCGGTAAATGGTTGATTTAGGTGCAATCTTACTAGCAGCAATATCCTTGCCTGTGAAGCCCTTTTTGTGCAAAGCAATGATGACGGCACGTGTTTCCTTGCAGGTAACCATGGTTAACAGAGGAAGAACAATGATTTCAAGCACCACCCTCCTTTTAAAGCTTCCAGTCTGTTATTCTAACTCAATCAGCATGACAGAGTGATCTCCAGCCTTGTCCTCGTCAACACTCTCACCTGTGTTAACGAGAGAATCACTGACATGATGGCAGCTGGTCCTTTTGTTGCAGGGCTGAAATGCAGTGGAAATGTTTTGGGGGGATTAAGTTCATTTTCATGGCAAAGAGGGACTTTGCAATTAATTGCAATTCATCTGATCAATCTTCATAACATTCTGGAGTATATGCAAATTGCCATCATAAAAACTGAGGCAGCAGACTGAACATTTATATTTGTGTCATTCTCAACTTTTGACCACGACTGTAGGCCAGTGACACAATTACATTCAGGCTGTAACACAACAACATTTGGAAAAAGTCAAGGGTTGTGAATACTTTCTGGAGGCACTGTACCTCTAACTTCCTTCATACTGCGAGCAGAGACAAATGTTTCATCCACAAGTTCATCTGGGTAAGTAGAAACATTTATTAATTGTCAGAATGTCGCAGTATCCCTTTAAAACACATGGTCAGATGCTACGTTGTGAATAAAGAAATACATGGAAATGGCACCATTTCTTTTTGCAAAAATGCAAAACAGGTGCAAAGTTTGCCCCCTATTTTTTATTTACACTGATCAAAATGATATTGTGAGTGTGACTAACTAGCATGATGCTGTTGTGTTGGCAGACATCTTGGAGGACATGAAGGAGGAGTGTCAGAAGTACGGCTCTGTGGTCTCTCTTCTCATTCCCAAGGAGAACCCAGGCAAAGGACAGGTAAGACACACTAGCCCCATTACCAGTGGTTTATTGTTGTCATTTAAATACTTCCATACAATCTTTCAAAAGTATATATTTGTACATATTGTAGACCTGCATTTTTACTGTCTCTTCTTGTCTTAATCTCTGTGTGTGTATGTGTGTGTTTCCCTCAGGTGTTTGTAGAATACGCTAACGCAGGCGACTCCAAAGAGGCCCAGAGACTGCTGATGGGACGGACCTTTGATGGGAAGTTTGTCGTTGCCACATTCTACCCCCTGAGTGCTTACAAGAGAGGCTACTTGTACCAGACCGTGCAGTGAACACACACGCTCACACACCGTCAGCTGAAGAGCACAGGCCTAGGCCCCAGTCAGTCAGTCTCTGTCATGATGTGGATACTTATATCAGATCACCACTCTGCTTTCTGCAGCCTCTAGGGCAAGAGTTAACCTACTGTGCCCTGTAGCTTTAATTACTGTATATAGCAACAGTATGGATTATACAAATATCCTTTCACAATTTTCCATGTCCTCCTATGGGGATGTATACTGCTGGAGGCTGCTGTTAACATTGATCCATATTGGTCATATGTTTATCAGAGGGTAGATGGCTTGACTCTCAGTAGATAGATACACCCTCACTGGCCACAACTGTCCCACTCTGCACACTGAGCTGATGTCAAACCCTGAACAAGACAAAGAGTACAGTACCAAGTGCCCTATGGGTTTCTCTCGTAAACCCAGCAGGCTTTTTAGCTTGAATATCCTATGTTTATTTAAGTAATTGAAACTGTTCCTACTGATTGATCTTGGGTCTCTCTTGTTAAAGGCTGAGCCACAATTTCATCTTGTCCAAAGTTACCTTCCTATGACATATTTTTCTATGAGATTTTGAGACTTGAATTCCAAAGGTACCACTCCAGAACATCAGTAGAATCACGTTCTGAGACTAAAGTCCAACCATTGAACTGCGGCACTTTTCTATGGTACATAAAAAAATCATCTAATCTTTAGTAATTTCTACCATATGTTTTTATATAATAAATTCTACCTTATATAGTGTTATTCAATTTTGTCCAAATTGCCACATATACCAAGTTTACTCCTGAATGGTTGGGCTGATGTAAATGGAAGTTCAGTTTTCGATACGTTATGAAAGGGATGGGTAATTCCCTAGCTCTGTACAGTACATAGCAACAAGCCTACTGTACGCTCAGGACCCATGAATAGGGTTTTCACAGTGGAATATTTCAGTTGGATAGCATTACAGCTGTGTCAGTGTTGTAGCACAGTAGCTGACTATTCCAGTTCTGTCTGTGAGTTTTATAGTCTGCATGTCAAATCAGTGTGTGAGAGCAGAGCTAGTTTAGTTGTTTGTTGACTATGGTGAGATTATAGAATAATTCAAGACTTTTGTAGCCTCTGTCGTGTGTTGAAGATGTTGAAATGAACAACAAAATGTTGCATGCACTGAACTGAATTGTTAGAGGCAGTATTTATTCTGACAGTTTTGACTCTCCCCCTTGTCTGTCTGCTGCTCATATTCAGGCCAATGACCCTGTGAATCTTAGGCTGGGCACAGAGGCTTCTGAATCAGTAGGCTGGCATTGAAACTAGAACAGTTTCAAGCAGGGGGCTAGTGGCATCCTGCCCATCTATATAAATACTGCAGCACCCCTTAGCGGTAAGGACTCGTCTTCCTATATTATACCTACAGTAGCTGATCTTCTAAAACTCCATCCTGCCTGCCCAACCTCTCCAGATGCTCTTTAAGTTATTTGAGAAAGAGACCATATTTACATGAGCAAAAATAACTACTATTTAAAGCACATTGTTGATACACTGCGATTTACTCCATTTGTAACTCACACTTTCAGTCAACTGGCATCATGCGACAAGTGTGAATGCTGATTGAGACATCGTTGACGACGTCCTGCCTAAATGTGAAGTACTGACTCTAGGACCTCTGAGTGACGTACCATCAATATGTGAGGTGATCCATACTAAATGTAGTCCACTGCCTTAGCTACCTTCTCTGTGTTTATAATCTAGAGTCTACCACTATAATGCTCCCATTTAGTATATTTATGTTTAGGCACACAATAGATCCCAATGAAAGCCTCCATGGATTCCTTCCTAATCCCCACAACCATTGAACATGATTATGACATTTCTTTATGGAAAACATTTCAGGGAGCTCCTTTGTGTTTTGGTTACACTTTGGGTCAGCTATCTGAATACAGTGTCAGTTTCTTTTCTTCTATGTCTTCTTATATATAAGTACTCATATGAGTAATTCTAAGTATCTGATAAAGCTGGAATTGATTTGTGGGCAAGGCGATGTCAGGTATTAGTCCATTTGCACATAGGTAGCAAGATACTGGTACCCCCTGTATATAGCCTCGCTATTGTTATTTTTACTGCTGCTCTTTAATTATTAGTGACTTTTTATTTAGTATTATTTTATATAGTATTTTTATTTATTATTATTTTAATTTTTTTGATACTAGGCCTAACTCCTATATGATATGTTCTAATAGCAGAGGATATAATATTAGGATTAGAATGCAGGTGGCAGAGCAGGATTCCTCTGGACGGTGACTATGAACACAATACTGATGAGGGAAAACCGGTACAGACGCTACATGAGAGAGCGACAGTAACAGAGGGAGAGGGAGCTCTGCTGTTAGTAAGTCAAGAGTACATGTCTCCAGGGCAGTAACCAGGGTCTGAGTTTTAGTGAGATCATCCAAGAAATGAAGGAAGTTGAAGCTCATTTACTGCATTTCTATAATAAAATTGATCCTGTTTATTGCCCAACTCCATGTCGAGAGGAAGCAGAATGATTGTATAACTGTCTCTGTAAAGTTTTGTTGTGGTACTCTGAGCAGTTGTAGAAATATCACTGAGCAGCCTCCCGACCGGGCCAACCCCAATCTATTTAGAAACGGATGGAAGGAGTGTCTCTGTTTGCAGACACGCTGGGCAATCAGAGAGTGTGGGTTTGTGTTTGGGTGTGTGTGTGCGCCTGTCAGCCCTATTCCTGTTCCAATAAAGCACCTCCATCCCACTCCAGCCCTGACATCTGACCCCCTAACCTTACAGACCAGTCCAGCAGAGGACCAGAGCCTTGTTAATATGCATAAAGCCCCTCTTTAGGACTCTCAGATTTTGCCAACTGGACAGAACGGCCCTGGTCCTCATCCGTCCATATACACACGACACAGGAAGGAAGCTTTATAGCTAAATATACAGGGCTTTAATGGTGTGGAGATGAGTGGTCAAGGTGAGGCCTGGAGTGGGATTGGGGTTATTAGGCAAATGAGGAGGGAGGCAGGTCACTGGGTTAATGTGTATCAGTGGGGGGATATTGAATGAGAAGTGTGTGTGTGTGTGTTAGTCTGTGGATACTGAAGGGGTGGGCCGGAGGTGTGTCAAGGCTGAAAATGAGCAATGCCTCCCAAGCTGACACTGTACTTAATCTCTCTCGTTCTCTCATTAGAAGCCAGTGTTGACTCAAGTTGCTGCAGTAACGCTTAGCTGGGTATAAAGGTTAGAGATTACAGAGTGTGTGTTTACATGTATATTCATTTATAGTGGTTTGTATGTGGGGATGCTTCCTGCATCCTCCCAGCTTGTTGTTGATAGGCATTGTTATGTTGTTTCATTCAGGTTTATTAGTTAGTGGAGTTATGCTGTTACAGAACTGCTGTTGCCAGAGATGATTTGCACAAATTGGCGATTTCCTAAACTGAATTGAATCAACCCTGCTTTACAGCACTGATCAAATGAAAGACAAATCTAAGTCCGCAATGATGTAGACCAATCCCCCGTCGCCACATAGTATCCAAAAAAACAAAGATGACAGGATTGAAATTAGGCATTTTATTGTCAATGCTTTGTCTGCTAGGCAATATTGAAGGAGTCTCCGAAGACTACAGCACTGATACCAATGTGTTATATATAAATCATGTCCCTTCCCCACTCAAAGACAATCATGATGATTTTCACTGTTGCCTTTCTATGTTTTGAGCAACATGTCTCCTTTTGGGTTTTGTGAAAGCCTGCTGCATTGAGCAGCTGTCAGCCCCCCTGTTACAAAGAACAACTCTGTCTCCAACAGAACTAAAACTGACTTGAATGTGAATATCTCACTCTGAGATCACTCCACTCACACTATCTGATCTGTGTGATCAGGATTATCAAAGGCACATATTTTGAGTATAAAACAAGTGTATGTATGATGGAACAAGCGTGTGTGAGAGTCCATGCATTGCCACATAGAACCCTGTGATTGTAAGGGAGTGATTATATATGTTCATATTGTCGCTGTTTGCATATCTCAAAATAAAGAAAGCTATACTTGACTATCTTCAATCTGTGTCCACAATGTTAGCCCTATATGTCTGTTTTTATGGTGGGGATCAGCTATATCAATAGCCCTATATGTCTGTTTTTATGGTGGGGATGAGCTATATCAATATGGAGTAAAACTACACTACACATGTTGTAATAGCATTGTACTGCCAATAGGGGTCAGCACAGCCATACTTTACAACCTACTGCTATCACTAATAGATCTATTTACTACTACTTTTGCTGCCTCTTTTTATTGATCCCCACAGTTGTCTCGCCGCTGTGTAGAACAGACCTCACATCCACACACAATAAATTAATAACCTAACCAGGCCTATTGATCTCTGTTATACTCTGATCGATTACCCTACCATGCCATGATGTTTTCACCAAGAAGCCAACAAATAATTGCTTTTCACAACTCTCTGGGGTGGAAGGATCCATACTGACGGAATATTATAAAAGGAATAGAAGTCAGAGAACTCTCTCTCCAATAGTTGGATAGCCTGGAGGTCAGGCTAACTTGTCATAGTTAAATACAGAGCCAGTCAGGCTCAAGTGGTAAACACTACGATGCCTTGAATACATACGAACCCATGAAAGAGGTAGTAGTGTTGTATCAAGACCAAGTTTATTTCCAATTGTAGGTATTAAAAATACATAGTAGGCCTACATTAGAACTAAGATAGACCTCTCAAACAAGTAAAAACAAACCCACTGAATACAGTGTGAGGAGTCAGGCTATAAGAGCAGACCCCCTGTAGCACTCTGCATTCCACAGCCCCCAACACATTGTCCTGCTGCTTCCTGTTACTGTGAATAGTGGGACTTTCAGCCCATTTATGGGCTCTCTGTTTACAGCCTGCCCCATAAAGAGGGCCTTGTCCGGGCTGGGCTCAGCCACACTGAGCCCCTGGAGAACAGACCAACGCATGGATGATGGAAGTAAGAGACTTACCCATATT